TCCAACGGTCTCTCTCAGCGCCCCGGGCATCTTCCTCAGGCTGCGCCATGCGCCGCATCTCCGTCTCCATCTCCGCGTGTTCGCTGCAGCTGGGTCACTCCTCCCACTGCGCCCGTGACTCACCCACCCTCCGGCAGCAAGGCCACCCCAGACCACCCGGTCTGGGGCCCTCGCACACCCCGGGGTGGCTGGAGAACCCACGGGACACCGACGAGCCTCGACAGTGTATCAGGGAGAACCAGTTCAGGAACACGTTTCGCTGGTAATTGCGCCGGCATCTGCGGGCAATTCGCCAGAATGGTGAGGTTCTCCTGTGTCTCCCGTTCTTATATAGAGCAGCAGCAGGGTGACGTCATCATTAACTCATCAACTCATCAGGTGCCAAGATTCAAGGGGGGAGTGATTGTAATTATATACTAGATTTAGTAATCAGGCTATTGTTACGATGCGAGTTGTAGATTAGTAATCATTTGGAATGTGTTTTTATTGTGATTATGCTACATTAGTAATCAGTTAGTGGTTGTTTCCCTTATAAGTAATTGTAATGCATCTTATTTAATTATACGCTTCCAGGCCGCACTAAGCCTGTAGCTGTCATTCATAAGAAATTCAGAACATCTTATGAATATGATCAAAGATATTAAACTTAACCCTAATGATATTTTGGTGAGTTTTGATGTGATTTCGCTATTCACTAAGGTTCCAGTGAGCGAGTCGCTTAAATTACTTGATACACTGGTAAAGAATACAGGTTTACCAAAAGATATTCCGAAACTCGCAGACCATTGTTTAAATAACACTTACTTCTTATGGAGAGGCGAATTCTTTAAACAAAGGGAGGAAGCAGCAATGGGCTCTCCTTTATCTCCTGCTATAGCAAATTTGTACATGGAAAACTTTGAAACCAGAGCACTTGCCTCGAGCACATTAAAACCATCCTTTTGGTTTAGATATGTGGATGACACTTTGGTTGTCTGGCCACATGGTAAAGATACACTTAACGATTTTCTAAATCATCTCAATGCACAAAACCCGGCCATTCAGTTCACCATGGAAATGGAGGTGAATAACACACTCCCGTTCCTGGATATTTTACTTGGGCATGGCCCAAACGGTAAAATAACACACAGCGTTTACAGAAAGCCAACGCACACTGATGCCTATCTGAATGCAGATTCGCATCATCACCCAGCTCAGAAATCCTCTCTTATCAAGACGCTCATACATCGGGCTAAAACAGTGTCAGATGGTGAAAGTCTAGTGAGAGAGATTAAACATGTTAAAGAAGCACTAAGACAGAATGGCTACAATAATGCTCAAATTAACAGAGCACTAAAAGCCAAATCACGATCGCAAAGCAACACTGCTGAAAGCGATCAGATTATTAAAACAATAAAAATACCATTTATCTCAGGAGTAACTGATAAATTAGCCCGTGTTTTGCAAAAGCAAAACATTACAGTAAGATTTGGTACAGTACACAAAATTCAACAACTAGTAACGTGCACTAAAGACGAATTACCTAAATTATCAACAGAAGGTGTATATCGGATTAATTGTGTATGTGGCAGATGCTATATTGGACAGACAGGGCGTAACGTTAGTGTAAGACTAAAAGAACACCAGAGAAATATTAAACTATCACAAACACAACTGTCGGCAGTAGCAGAACATGCATGCCAACAGGGACACTCAATTGATTTTGACAACGTGGAAGTGTTGTGTAAAACTAGTTACTACTGGCAAAGCCTAATTAGAGAATCGATTGAAATTGAGAGAAACAGAAATAACTTTAATCGCTCAGACAGCTACAGGCTTAGTGCGGCCTGGAAGCGTATAATTAAATAAGATGCATTATAATTACTTATAAGGGAAACAACCATTAACTGATTACTAATGTAGCATAATCACAATAAAAACACATTCCAAATGATTACTAATCTACAACTCGCATCGTAACAATAGCCTGATTACTAATCTAGTATATAATTACAATCACTCCCCCCTTGAATCTTGTCACCTGATGAGTTGATGAGTTAATGATGACGTCACCCTGCTGCTGCTCTATATAAGAACGGGAGACACAGGAGAACCTCACCATTCTGGCGAATTGCCCGATGATGCTGGTTGCAATTACCAGCGAAACGTCGTACTCAAATTGTAAATGTTGTGGCTTCAACACACCGGTGGGCTAAAGCAGTGAACTATTTGTCTTTGTCAACGTGACACTTTTTTACTGATTAGCCGTGTCGGGTGGTGTAGGGTTACGACACATTTATAAATAAACGCGATCTAAACCCAAAAACGTTGATTATGAATAACATTGGTCGCGAAAGCCTACGTGTTAAACTGAAGCTAAATATACACACATACATATGTGTGTGATGATGCTCTTTGTGATAATATGGACAATTTGCTGTGTGTGCTGGTGCTGTCTGTGATAATCTGTATGTGGAACATCGGCTGTTTATATTGAGTGGGTGTTACAAACTGGATGCGTGTGACCATGCAATCTATTATAGAGGTTTTTGGCAAAGATCGCGTAAATATATAAATGTGTCGTTAAAACCCGCCACCACCCGACACAGCCAACTACATGCTAATTTCTCACATTAACATAGCCACTTCTGTGCCCTCGTCGTAGGAGGCCGCTCTCATATCTTACAATTACATGCTTATTTCTCATATTAACTTCACTAGCCCCGGCCACTGCTTTATAACCCTTGAGCTACACCTATTTCAAACCTTTTAAAACAGTCTGCCTTAGCAGCAGACCATGCTGTCCCACCTGATGATGGACGCTTGTGTTTCGCCCGAAACGTCGTGATTTATTTTATTTTATACCTACGTGACTTTACCGAAAGAACCAAAGATTATAGTAAGGGTTGTCACGTAAACAGAACATGCCAATTCGTCACTAGTACAGCACACCGGTGTGTTGGAGAGCCGAGCCAAGCCACAACATTTAAAACCTGAGGACGACGTTTCACAAGTAATTACAAATAGCTTCATCAAGCGACAGCCAGATTTGTGGAGAAGTCTTACTGTTTCATTCCTTATATAGAGGCGTAGATGTGGTGACCACGCAGCTGCGCTCTTGCACAATGTGGGGGGGGGGGGGTTACTAACGCAACATTTATTATGCATGTGCATTATGCGAGCCCTTTGAACTTGACCTTCCTGTCTATTGTGTTTATTAAAATAGCCCTACCAACGGTAATCCCTATTGAAGTACGCTGCCCTTTGTAGGCATGCATTTAAATAATATATTATTTGATTATTCGCTTGCACGCAGCACTAAGGCGGTAGCTATCCGAACAGTTAAAGTTCTATTTAAAGCTTTCGTGACTGCAGGGATTCATCTTCTTGGTTCTTTCGGTAAAGTCACGTAGAATGGAAACAATAAAATAATAAAAATAAAACATAATAAAATAATTCTCACGACGTTTCGGCCACAACGCAAGCAGCCGTCCTCAGGTGAAGAACAGGTATGTCGGAAAGACAAGACACCTGAGGACGGCTGCTTGCGTTGTGGCCGAAACGTCGTGAAAATTGTATTTTATTATGTTATTATGCCCATGCATTATGCAGGATTAGCAGCATCAAAGGGAGGGAGTAAGGTTAGAATTAATAAAGGGAAGGAATGTTAATAATATGGAGCCGCAGCAACTAATATGCTTATAGACTATACATTGACTTTAAACCCCTCGCCAAACCTCCTACGCATTTCACAAGTAGTACTAATCGCATATCTGCATTTCCCATAAATATGCTAAATTCCTCTTGATATGCAAATTATTTTGTCAAGACGCTCTTCGCTCCTCCATCCCAGCTTAAATAGTCGCTCCAAGCCTGGGGCGTGCCATTCAGACTCTGTCTTCTCGACAGACCTGTTCTCCACCTGAGGACGGTTGCTTGCGTTGTCGCCGAAACGTCGTGAGAATTATTTTATTATGTTTTTATTTGTATTTTTATTATTATTTTATTATTTCCATTCTACGTGACTTTACCGAAAGAACCAAGAAGATGAATCCCTGCAGTCACGAAAGCTTTAAATCGAAAAATTATTTTGATTTCTTTCAATTTCGATATATTATCTAATTAGTCTTGCCCAGTAGTAGCTAGTCTTGCACAAAACTTCAACATTATTAAATCAATTGAGTATCCTTGTTGGCACGCATGCTCTGCTACTGCTGACAGTTGTATTTTGGAGAATTTAATGTTTCTCTGATGTTGTTTTAACATTTACCACATGTGCAGTTAATCCTGTACACACCTTCTATTGATAGCTTCGGTAATACATCGTTTGTACCAGATATTATTTTTTGTATTTTATGTATCGTGCCAGATCTGACTCGTATGTTCTTTTCTTCCAAACATCTGGCTAGTTTTTCAGTTACTCCCGCAATTTATAGTATTTAAATCGTTTTAATTTGGTTTTAGTGTTCAATGCCCTGTTGATTTGTGCATCATTGTAACCGTTAATTTGCAGCGCTTCTTTAACATTTTCAATTTCACTTCTCAGACTATCACCATCTGACACTTTCCTAGCTCAATAATAAGAGCAGATTTCTGTTAGGGGTGATGGTGTAACTCTGCATTCAGATAGGCATCAGTATGCGTTTTCTTTCGGTAAACACTGTGTTATTTTACCATGCTAAAGTTGCTTAAATAGAGGACTGCATATTGTGTGGGACACAGGTTCCATTTAATGGTGCTGCATTTTAAACGTTGTCTGCATGTGGTGATGCTGTGTGTGTGATGACGCTGTGTGTGTGTGGTGATGCTGTGTGTGTGTGTGGTGATGACGCTGTGTGTGTGTGTGGTGATGCTCTGTGTGTGTGTGGTGATGCTGTATGTGTGTGGTGATGCTGTATGTGTGTGGTGATGCTGTATGTGTGTGGTGATGCTGTATGTGTGTGGTGATGCTGTATGTGTGTGGTGATACTGTGTGTGTGTGTGTGGTGATGCTGATTGTTTTTTGCTAATCGTTGTCACAGGGGAAAGGTTCCTAAGAAGTCTCCGTCCCCAGCTCCTACTCCACTGGACACCTCCACGATCCGCTCCCTAGAGAGAGTCATGGGCCGACTGCTCCCTCTCGTCTGTGAGTTCATCACTCCTGCCCCAGTGTGGAGGGGAGACCTTGGCTATTGAAACAACTGAATCCAGATACTAGGATCCTGGGTTCAATCCCCAGTTCTAACTGGTACCCAGTATAGTCAATGTACTCATTGCTGTGTGTCTAACCTGAGCTTAGTCTCCAATCATTGCACAACAAACACAATCCTCCGTTGCTAATAGCACTTAGTTCACTCTCATTCAGAAGCGAGGGCATCAATATCAGTGTAAAATCATGATGCATATGACGCAGTGTTAATGGCCGAGACTTACAGAAGCAGAATAAGTTTCGTTTCGAGGCTGTTACATTTAGGCTCGAGCAACTTATATTCCAGGCTCAGGTGATAATTGTATCACTCTGCATATCATAAGATACGTTACAGTTACACAGGTAGTGTATTATATAAATGTTAATGTATAGCACACGCATGAGTGTAAATCGCTCTTACAGTGCTCTATTAATACTACATGTGTATGTTGAACTTGTTTCCCACCGCACTTAGCCAACCGTGCTAATCGGAGGTGTGAATGTATAATTATTGAGTGAGGATGTCGTTGGCCAAAGTAACCATTGTAGCAGATTCATCTATTAGTAGAGGAGGTTTCTCGGTCATGGATGTCATCCTCAGACTAGAGCCAGACTACATCACCGTTGTAATGCAAAAGGTTCATTGTTAATGCATGAGGTGCATAGCCAGGCTAACTCAGCATTAGGTTTCATCTATATTGGTTGAGGCTGCTATATCCCTTCTAAGGCACCTCAAGGATTATTGGGATTGGGTGTTAATTCCCGAGGCTCACAGAGCCACACTGGGCTATAACTGTGGCTGACCATGTGTATCACTGTACATATGTTACAGGCAGATCTTCTTAGGGGCTTATGCCAAGGGTTTATTAGGGGCTTACGCCAAGGGACTATTAGGGGCTTACGCCAGTTACGGGCTAAGGGCTACTATAATTCTCCCCAGGGATAGGGTACTGGGACTCCTAACACACTGACTTACCGGGCTCTTCCCACTGCACCGGCCGAGGGCTCAACCAACATTGGCCGACCGGGTAAAGCAGCCACTCCTAACCCTCGTGCCAGATTTCCCTTATTCCCCGTCAGCCCTACCCCTGGGTCACGACTTCCACCCTTCACGTTCCCGGGCTCCTGCGACGACCCCGCTCACGTAACGGGCTCCAGCTTAAGTACCCCAGGGAGACATGACGCCATCGCCCCGCCCCCGTGCATGACGTCACTGCCCGTGACGTAATCGTACAGGAAGGTATGCATGAAGTCACATCCTGTGACGTCACCGCACCAGAAGGTGAGCGTGACGTAATGTCCCCGACTACTCCTCTACACATACATTACTATTGCCCATGTATTGTAATACCTCTACGTTAACATACAGCACACACACGAGTGTAAAGGAGTATTACATGAGCTCTATTAACACTATACGTGTGTATTATTGAATGAGGATGCTGTTGCTATGCTGTGTGTGTGAGTGTTTTACACAGAGGCACTGTGGCTGAGATTATTATGATTCATTATTAGTACTTGAGGCTGCGATATCCAGCAAGGTTCAGTGTTAATGCTGAAAGCTCTAAGAATCAAAGGCACCTTTAGGATTCTGTGTTAATATTCAGAGGTTAATCAGACAGCCAGCCAAGGGCTGGACCTTGGTTGACCGTGTAAATTACTACCTAGACAAAAAGGTAAATTACTATAAAACATATATCAATATACCTACATATTAAAATATAGCACATACACACAGATGAGTGCAAATCACTATTACATGAGCTCTATTAACACTACACCTGTGTATAATTGAGTGAGGATGCTATTGCTATTCTGCGTGTGAGTGACACACACACACACGCGCTATGGCTAAGATGTTTAGGATTCATTATTACTGGTAGGAACGAAGTGGACCAGACCACCAATAGATTAATGTGTCCGTCCGTCCGACTGTCCGTCCGTCCGTCCATCCCTGTATCAACATCGCCCCCTACTGCAAACACTTGGCATGACCCTACAAAAACCTTTAGACTCAGTGACGCTATCCTGGTAGCAACATCGCCCCCTACTGCAAACACTTGGCATGACACGTGTAACATTCCCTTATTCCCTGAGATAGCTTTTAATTAAAACTTTTAATTAAAACTTTGAAATTAAATAAAAAAAACTCACAGTGCCCTAAAGCCTACAGCTGTAGCAACATCGCCCCCTACTGCAAACACTTGGCAGGACCCTACAAAAACCTTTTGACTCAGTGGGGCTTTCCTGGCTTAACAAGTGTAATAATAAACTTCGCTTCAAATTTACTTTACTGAAACGCAGCACGTTTTTTTAACACAGAGACAAGAAACATTTATTAACACAGAGACGAGATACATTTAATCGCCGTATTTTTTTGCACGAAAAGCACGGCGCGAGGCCTAGTGCTGCAGGCTTCGCGAGGCCTAGTGCGGCAGGCTTATTAACACAGAGATGAAACGCAGCACGTTTATAAAAAAAAATTACTTTCCTGAAACGCGCACGTTTTTTTAACACAGAGACAAGAAACATTTATTAACACAGAGACGAGATACATTTAATCGCCTTAATTGTTCACGAAAAGCACGGCGCGTGGCCTAGTGCGACAGGCTTCGCGAGGCCTAGTGCGGCAGGATTCGCGAGGCCTAGTGCGGCAGGCTTCGCGAGGCCTAGTGCAGAAGGTGGTGGTGGGGGGTGGTGGTGGGGGGTGGTGGTGGGGGGTGGTGGTGGGGGGTGGTGGTGGGGGGTGGGGGGTGGTGGTGGGGGGTGGTGGTGGGGGCTGGTGGGAGGGGTGGTGTTGAGGGTGGTGTTGGGGGGTCTTTAAATCTCACAGCGTTTCTTGTCAAAACAAACACTTTTAATTAACGTTACACTAGAATACAGTAATTTTTTTCTTTAACTCCTCTATACCCGGTCGATATCCCTGTACCGGTACTAAGTATTATTCCTACCAGCCCACCCCGCAGGGTCATGTTAGTGCTTTAGGCAGCGTGATACAGACACATTGAGGATTCTTAGGGTTCAGTGTTACAGCCTGATGCTCTCAGAATCAAAGGCAACTTTAGGGTTTATTAGACAGTGAGACCAAGGCATAAGCTGAGTTGTCCGTGTAAATCGCTACACAGGCAACAAGTAAATTACCAAAGAACACGAATCAACATATACCAATACGTTGATATAGACAGAGATCCCTTGCATGGCCTTAACAGACTGTTGGGGCAAGTGCGGTTAGCGAGCTCCTATGACGGGGTGGGTGGCTGGCACCACGCCCGACCGCCTTTGTCTCCCAAGTGGCGATGTTTACACACCGCAGTATGTACTCATTTGAGCCTCAGTCGACCTAGGGGAGACCCAGGACCGAGTCTGATAATCGTCACTGGTGTTGGCCGTGAGCAAGAATCAAAATCGGGTCACTGCGCTAAGCACTGCACTACCGCTCCCCACGACCATTTATCATTGTTTATGTATAGCACACACACATACGAGTATACATCACTACACTATCACACACACACAGAGTGTACATCACTACACTATCACACACACACAGAGTGTACATCACTACACTATCACACACACACAGAGTGTACATCACTACACTATCACACACACACGAGTGTACATCACTACACTAACACACATACACACGACTGTACATCACTACACTATCACACACACACGAGTGTACATCACGATACTATTGTAATGGGTTCAATTTAGGCGCACACACTTCTTGGGAGGCAACACTCATTTATTAATTAACACAACGTTTACTCAACAGTTACTCTTACTCTACACATAGGGTGGTGACCACCGACCTACACTAGCTAACACACAATTGTATTTTAGTCTCTCTCCAGCGTGACCCAGCCAGGTGGCTGCTGGCAGTCCGCTCACTGTAGGTCTTCTCTTCTGGCATCTTCACGAGGTGTCTTCATTCTTCTCAGGAACAGCCCTGCTCTGCCTTCACACCACCCTTATATCTCGTCTCTCTGGCGTGGCCGGCTCCGCCCAGGCCACGCCTCCCTTCCCAGGCCACGCCTCACTTCCCAGGCCACGCCTCACTTCCCCCACCTCTGGGAAGGTCCGGATCCCTCCAGCACGTGACCCCCCAGGCACCCCCTTGGGGCCCCCAGCCCTCGTACGGGCCAACACAGTAGTGACCGTTCTGTCACTACATCACCCCCTCCTGTATAAACACACAGCCGTCCCCGGCTGTAACACAACTGTGAACATCGAAAAGGTGTGCCTCCGAACCAGCAACATCAATAAATGACCGGCGACCGATAAGAAATACAATCACGTAATATATACAGAATCGACGAGGGTAAAAGGGAACCGCATAGAAAACGGGGAATTAACAACAAATATACATGAAAACTGGCTAACCCACTTACGCTACAGCACAGCCCCCCCCACCGTTAGAATCACGCATGCAATGACAGTCACCCGTTAGCACCCCCCCGCCTTTCCGACGTGGCGTCACAACCAGTAGCACGCGTCGGCCATATCGGGGGGGGAATTTCCATGTTACCACCCCACCGCCTTTCCGACGTGGCATCACAACCAGTAGCACGCGTCGGCCATATCGGGGGGGGGGATTTCCATGTTACCCCCCCACCGCCTTTCCGACGCGGCGTCACAACCAGTAGCACACGTCGGCCATATCGGTGGGATTTTAACCCAGTCTCTCTCCAAGACTCGCATCGCAGCATATAGCTGTACCGACCGAGCTGAGATGACCCAGTCTCTCTCCCAGACTCGCATCGCAGCATATAGCTGTACCGACCGAGCTGAGACGACCCATCGTTCACTCACTGCACAACATGCACCCTAACAACTGAGGGAACAGTCTCAACGTAACAGGCCAACTCCACCCGAACCTTACGAATCTCCAGCCCACTGTTTCAACGCGCCTCAGAGGGTCTCAACCTCCGAGCCGTCAGGTCAAGCTGTCAGCCATAGCATGACGGGACCACCCTCCCTGAGCCATGTGAGCGCACAGCCCACAAGGCTAGACAAGCCACAGAGTGTCTCGCTCTCCGGGCTGTCAGGTCAAGCCGTCAGCCATTGCATGACGGGACCACACACTCCGAGCCATGTGAGCACACAGCCCACTAGGCTAGACATACCACGGAGTGTTTCGCTCTCCGGGCTGTCAGGTCAAGCCGTCAGCCATTGCATGACGGGACCACACTCTCCGAGCCATGTGAGCGCACAGCCCACTAGGCTAGACATGCCACGGAGTGTTTCAATCTCCGGGCTGTCAGGTCAAGCCGTCAGGCACAGCATGACGGGACCACACTCTCCGAGCCATGTGAGCGCACAGCCCACTAGGCTAGACATACCACGGAGTGTTTCAAGCTCCGGGCTGTCAGGTCAAGCCGTCAGCCATAGCATGACGGGACCACACTCTCCGAGCCATGTGAGCGCACAGCCCACTAGGCTAGACATACCACGGAGTGTTTCAAGCTCCGGGCTGTCAGGTCAAGCCGTCAGCCATAGCATGACGGGACCACACTCTCCGAGCCATGTGAGCGCACAGCCCACTAGGCTAGACATACCACGGAGTGTTTCAATCTCCGGGCTGTCAGGTCAAGCCGTCAGCCATAGCATGACGGGACCACAACGTTCATGTTAGACACGCAACACTCACTGGGCCATCCTGGTCAGGACCTGCGCCCCAAGATAGTGACAGCCAGCAGCACAATTCCAAATCCCTGGCAGCATGTCACCATCGCAATTTAACACCATCACAACACATACAATTTGAATTATGATCCCCCACAGAACTAATCCAATGCCGAACAGGTACGCACAATTTTTTTTTTTTGACGATCCCGAATATTCAATGGTCACAACAATACACCTCACATCCCGTATCCGTACACATCATCTCCGAGACTCGCATTGCAGCAATGCAGCTGTACCAACCGAGTGGAGAGAGCAATGCAATTTGACGGCAATTAACAGAAACGCACCCCCGATCCATGTAGAACACAAGGAGCATTCCCGCACAAAAGACATCATCTGTGCAACAACGGACAGGAACCAACCAGTGAGTTTGAAACAAACCGAACCTGTCACTTCAAAATCCCCTTCAACATTAACCATGGGACTCAGGGCATTCGAATTTTGAGAGAAAAAAACTGTACACAAACCCCAAGAATCGCCGAATTGATTAATACAGTATATGCAGTATACGAAGTTCGTACAGTCAATCATTTGGCACAATGCACCATCCAGTCCCCACATGGCAACACACACAATCAATACTCCAGACAATCCGTACATAGTAAATAATCACAAGCAAGTACCCAACATTCCATACACTGTTAACAATGACGATCAAAGTTTCTGACAGTTGCAAGTGACAATCACGAGCGAAACTCCATACAGTATACACAATAACAATGGTGATTTCGCAACACAACGATGTAACAACACGAGTCATTAACACGGCAACATCCACGGAACTCGGGACACCAACAACGAATTAATCATTAACTACACGCAGAAGATACCGATCTTGACGCCGTAATTAACAACAAACACTGGTCGCCGCGTCAATTTCTCACGCACACAACCGGACGAACACGCTCCGCAACCCAGCGAGTAAAAAAAACACACGATCGCAACCCGGCACACGCAAGATGGGTGAAAATTATTATTATTTTTATTGGGGCCGGGTGCTTGTCAAGTCACAACTCGCCTGGCAAACTGTGAATAGCGGAGGGCGGCAAGGTGGAGCACTGGAACGGCCCGAAGAATCTTTGATGGTGAACACGGCCTGCTCTTGCGAACCCATCCACCTCTCACGCTCGAGCAGAAGGCTGGAACTCCCCCTCTGCAGGCGTTGATGTCGGCGGGAGCGGCATTTCGGCAGCAGGAGCGGTGTTTTGGCGGGAACAGCGCCCCGACCAGCCGCCGAAATGGCGGGAACGGTGTTTTGGCGGGAACAGCGCCCCGACCAGCCGCCGAAATGGCGGGCCCACCGCGTGGCCCGCATGCCCGGGCCTCCCCCGCCAGCCCCCGCAGCGACGATGGTGTCCTCTCGCCGCGGCTCCATCGCTCCGTTCCCGATGGCGGCGAAGCAGCAGTGCGATGCAAGTCCCACCGCTCCGCGTGCAGCGCCATCTCTCTCTCTCTGTCACCGGGGCTGCCATCCCCGGGGCTGTCCGAAGGACGGTCGTCACACCATCCCCGTCGTACGAAGACGTCCAGATGAGTTTTGTATTTGTTTTTCGTGTGCCCATTTTACTTCCCTAGGATAACACCTAGCAATATTTATTTTTCCACAACTGACACCAAATGTAATGAGTTCAATTTAGGCGCACACACTTCTTGGGAGGCAACACTCATTTATTAATTAACACAACGTTTACTCAACAGTTACTCTTACTCTACACATAGGGTGGTGACCACCGACCTACACTAGCTAACACACAATTGTATTTTAGTCTCTCTCCAGCGTGACCCAGCCAGGTGGCTGCTGGCAGTCCGCTCACTGTAGGTCTTCTCTTCTGGCATCTTCACGAGGTGTCTTCATTCTTCTCAGGAACAGCCCTGCTCTGCCTTCACACCACCCTTATATCTCGTCTCTCTGGCGTGGCCGGCTCCGCCCAGGCCACGCCTCCCTTCCCAGGCCACGCCTCACTTCCCAGGCCACGCCTCACTTCCCCCACCTCTGGGAAGGTCCGGATCCCTCCAGCACGTGACCCCCCAGGCACCCCCTTGGGGCCCCCAGCCCTCGTACGGGCCAACACAGTAGTGACCGTTCTGTCACTACACTATCACACACACACACGACTGTACATCACTACACTATCACACACACGAGTGTACATCACTACACTATCACACACACACACACGAGTGTACATCACTACACTATCACACACACACACACACGAGTGTACATCACTACACCATGACACACACACACACGCGTGTACATCACTACACTATCACACACACACACGAGTTTACATCACTACACTATCACACACACACGAGTTTACATCACTACACTATCACACACACACGAGTGTACATCACTACACTATCACACACACACACGAGTGTACATCACTACACTATCACACCCACCTCGTGTGCCGTGTCGGCCTTCACAGGTGCTCACCAACACCACTTGCCCCTACAGTCTGTGAAAGGTGACACACGGGAGATGTTTGTGTTTGTTGTACACACACAGAGACGCTGCGGCGGTGTTGATATCCACGCTGCTGCTGTGATCCACTGCCTCCCACGGGCACTACCGCACAGTGGGGCTGAACGATGAATCGATTTCAAATCGAAGTCGCAATTGAAACAATGCGATTAGCAAATCGCAAAAGCTGCGATTTTTGAAAAGTGTTTTATTTTTTATTATTAGAACTTTATTGATTTAACTTAACAATTAATTCTAGATTTGAAGCTTTCGTGACTGCAAGGATTCATACTCTTAGGTTGTTTCGGTAAAGTCACATAGGTAAAAATAAATAAATAATAATAAATGAAAATAACTCAATTAAATCACGACGTTTCGGAGGCAACACAAGTCTCTGTCTTCAGGTGGGACCGTCACAGCTAAATTTACTGTATCACTTTATTTTATTATTATTTTACCTACGTGACTTTACCGAAAAAACTTAACCATTCTATGTTTGATAGTTCTATTTCAATTAGAACATTTTAATAAATACATGTTGGAAGCATAATCAACGTTTTTGGGTTTAGATCGCGTTATTTATAAATGTGTCGTAACCCTCCACCACCCGACACGGCCAATCAGTAAAAATGTGTCACGTTGACAAAAGACAAATAGTTAACTGCTTTAGCCCACCGGTGTGTTGAAGCCACAACATTTACAATTTGAGTACGACGTTTCGCTGGTAATTGCATCCAGCATCATCGGGCAATTCGCCAGAATGGTGAGGCTCTGCTGTGTCTCCCGTTCATATAGAACGGTGAAGTATGGTCAAATATCCCCCGCGACCCGCACGGCGTAGGGAGGCCCTCATCCAGCAGTGGATTGACAAAGCGCCCGTTACATGTCATCACACCGATAGCTACACATTACAACGTTGTATAACAATGCTCATTATGAATAGCTCTATTGTAGTGTACGTGCGTGTTAGTGCACGAGTGCTGTTGTTATAGTGGTGCTGTTGTTACACGGCTACTGTGATTATCGTTACTGCAGACGGACGCTCACCGACTGTGGACCCAAACTCGGCCCACAACAAACTCCAGATTTCCTTGGACCTCAGGACGGTGACGCGGACCGCTGTCTCCCAGGGTCGCCCCGATCACCCGCACCGCTTTGATGGCTGGCGACAAGCCCTGTGCTCCGAGAGCTTCTCGTCGGGTCAGCACTATTGGGAGGTGGACGTGGGGGGTGTGACGGGGTTCTATCAGGTTGGAGTCGCGTACGGGACGATCGCACGGAAAGGGAGTGGTAAAGAGTGCAGCCTGGGAGAGAACGACTCATCCTGGGTTTTATATAAATATAACAACAGCTGGGCAGTGCTTCATGGTGATGTAGTGACCTCAGTGCCGGTGAGGGATCCTCCCCGGAGAGTCGGGTGTCACCTGCACTGGGAGGCGGGGCTGCTGTCGTTTTACCGCGCCGACTCCATGGAGCTGCTGCACTCCGTCCACCACTCGTTTAGTCAATCGCTCTACCCCGCACTGTATGTGTGGGATGATGGTGACTCAGTGAGGATTCTGGATCTGAGTCGTGCGTCTTGAGAGCACGGAGTGTGAGCAGCGCAGAGAAACGCACAGATATTTGTCTTTAGTGTATAGAGGGGCATGTGCGTAGTGTGGGGTGGAGCGGTGGTGCAGTGTTTAGCGCACTCGTGGGGGAGGGCAGGGAACACAAGAGTGTGGAGCTCCACCGCGGGCGTGCTGGGAACACACGTCACGTGACGCTGCGGGGTGACGTGCGCAGTCCCCCTCGCGGTCACTCGCTCGTTGGGCAATAAACCCGGGGTGGGAATGGGATGGCATCACTAGGGGGGGACAACTCGTGGTGTGTGCTGAGCGTCGCTGGGCTAAAACATTTTTGTTATAACCAGCGGTCGAATGACCCCCTCCTCCCCCCCACCAAACTAGTTTTATTTTACAGGGCATAGAGAGAGAGAAGCCATTTAACACATAGTAGTAGTAGGAAGTTTTTCGCCACCAATATTATTAGTAAAGGTTTGTTTGGATTAATATTTTAATTATCTGCTCTCAGACTTGGACCTGTAAACCACAACCTTCGATTTATGGGATAACGCTTCTGCTGACAACAATGGAAACTGTGTTTTGACTGTGAAGTGGGTTAAAGTTTATGTTTTATTTTTTTTATTTTATTATTTCCCTTCTATGTGACTTTACCGAAAGAACCAAGAAGATGAATCCCTGCAGTCACGAAAGCTTTAAATCGAAATTTGGTTAAAGTTATTAAGCACCTGATATATATCTAGAGTGACGATCTACCTTACACTACAACACGACTAATATTGTCTCAACACGCATTAATAACACAGAGACACTGTGTGTTATTACAGGGATAGAGACAACGCAAACTCCAAATATACAGCAGCTTTCAGGGTCGTAATCCAACCCACGACCTCCTGCATACCAGGCGAGGGAGTTATCATCTCCGAGGCACCGCAGCGCCTCTCGTTAACATGAGACACCAATCCGTTGTGAACCCAACCTCGAGTCTCAGGGTATTTAGCAACATGTAGATGATTTGAGACGCATTGATTATCTCGTACCAGTTGTGTAATTGTGTGAACGCTAATCGCATTGTGCTCTGGGCTGGGGGTGAGAATTCTACGTGCTTCATTGCTGGCATGGGTTTGACTTGTTTTGCTTTTTTTATTTTTGTGACCCAGGTCACTCTTGTCAATGAGACTCATCCTGATCTCCTGAGTTCTCACCTCATTAAATTTAACTCGACTCGATCATCAGCAGAAGTATCATCAGCAGCAGAATTAATAACAGGAGCAACAGCATCAACAGCAGTAGCTCCATCATAATCATCAGCATCAGGAGTAGAACTAGTAACATCAATAATAATGGAATCATCAGCAGTAACAGAATCATCATCAGCAGCAGAAACAGCATCACTATCATCACTTTTGCAACCGAGACTCATCCTGGTCTCTTGAGTTCTCACCTGGTTAAACAAATCGACTTTAACACGTAGGCTTTCGCGACCAATATTATCAATGATTAAGGTTTATTGGGTTAGATCACGTACATTTACATAGACCTGATTGTGTTCTGGATTACCTGTGAATTGTAATCACATTGTATTGTGGGTCAAGGGTCAATGTGTTCTGGGTGAATAAAAAATAAAATCTGAAAATCTATTGTCAAGATTGTCATCCAGGCTGTGAATGTGACTCTCTCATAGCTGAGACTGACTCACTTGTGTAAACATGTATTTTTTTGGGATGGTTCCTGTTGTTTTGTTTGTATGGATGTTATATTTTTGGAGATTAAACCCGGGCACGGTTTGTAAATCTTCAGCCTACGCCTTCACAGCTAAGTGCTGTCTGTAGCCTTGGGCCACATTCCATGGCGCATCTCGTGGTATTTATAGCTGCACTCTCAGTCAGTTTGCTTGTTCCTCGTCACCATGAGCTATGATGATGAATGGATCCTGACTGATGGATGATGATGAAGAGCACGATGATGATAATGACAACGCTTGGTAATGACCACCACCCACTCACCTGCACCCAACACTCTCTTACCCGACACCTGCCACTCCCTAACCTACTACCCCCCATCCTATTGTAATAAAAGACTCCGTCAGGCACTGCTGGTCTCAATTGGTCTTTTATTCAAATTCTTTCTCCGCACCCCGCTGGTCTCCTCCGCGGACCAGCGTCGTCTCGTGCGCGCCCTCGCACGCGCTTCCTCCTCAGCTCCTCCACTCGTCCTCACACCCGGCTGGTCCTGACAAGGGACCAACGTCTCCTCTCGCGTGCCACGCACGCTCCTCTCGCGTGCCCCGCACGCTCCTCTCGCGTGCCCCGCACGCTCCTCCATTAGCTCCTCCTCGTGCGCGCCCCACACGCGCTCTCCCGTCAGCTCCTCTCCCGTCAGTCGCTCCGCTCCTCCCCGCTCCGCACACCGCTGGCCAACGGTGTGCCACCGAAGCCCCATCAGCCACGTGGCTGATGGCGCGGCGGCCACCCAACGTGGTCCCGCTTCTTCACTCCATCAACTGACCCCGATCTTTTCCGGGCTCCCCTCTATATCCTCTCTCCCACGTGACTTTGACTCCTCCCCTTCCGGATCGTCAGATCCGGCCTTCCCATACTGCCCCGCTGGCTCCACCTCCATTCACCTCGCTTCCCATTGGAGCCGAGGTGAACGGCGGCCCCTCCCACACGCACCCCATACCGGGCTCCGCCCCCAATACCCCGGGCCGTGTGATTTGGCCAGAGCCCAGCAGCAACCCCATTTACGCTCGCATTACACATATGTAATAAGAGCCTATGTCAGATTCACGTGGTGATCGGCTTGGCCGGTCCCGCTTTACAGCCAATGGGGGAAGAGCCTGGGAGCATGGCCCCGGCGTGATCACGGGATGTCAGCTAGCTGATTGGTTTCGGTGGTCTTGGCCTCAGCCAATGGGAAGACAAGTCAGGGGCGTGGTCCCGGGAGTTGATGGATGATCTGGAACATTCGGCGCAGGCTATTGAGGATTGGCTGGAGGGTACCACGTGACCCAGGCATTAAAAAAGGGGAGAGAGGAGAGACATGGGGTCAGACACGGAACTAAGAAAGGGAGAGGTCACGCGCGAGTGGGGCTCTGGGTGCCACGTGGTGGTGGGTCTCTGTGATTGTCGGCCCACTTCCCGTTGCAAGCCAGCAACGGGGAGTGTTTGTGAACTGCAAAGGAAGTGAAATAAAAGGACCGATTCTACAAGCCGTCTCCAGTGTGTTATTACACATATATACAGACACAGACACAATTTCAACTCAGAAATCATTGGAAAGAAGTCATCAACTACTTTGGGTCATGACTTGATTTGTGTTTTCGTGTCAACCTCTACCTTCAGCAGTGTGGATGTGTGTAGGGAGGTGCAATGCCCCCCCCCCGATCTCTACCCCCCTCTTTCTCCCCCTATCTCTACCCCCTTCCTACCCCCATTGTCTACTCCTCCATTAAATTTCGATTTCAAGCTTTCATGGCTGCAGGGATTCATCTTCTTGGTTCTTTCGGTAAAGTCATCGCGTAGAAGGGAAATAATAAAATAATAAAAATAAAACATAAAATACAATTCTGACGACGTTTCGGCCACAACGCAAGCAGCCGTCCTTAGGTGTCTTGTCTTTCCGACAGACCTGTTCTTCACCTGAGGACGGCTGCTTGCGTTGTGTCCGAAACGTTGTGAGAATTATGTTATACTGGTAGGAACGAAGTGGACCAGCCACCAATAGATTATTTCGTCCGTCCGTCCGTCCGACCGTGTAGCAACATCGCCCCCTACTGCAAACACTTGGCATGACCCTACAAAAACCTTTAGACTCTGACACTTTCCTGGCTAAACAAGTTAAACATTCCCTTATAATTCCCTCAGATAGCTTTTAATTAAAACATTTAAATTAATGAGGCTTTCCTGGCTAAACACGTGTAACATTCCCTTATAATTCCCTGAGATAGCTTTTAATTAAAACTTTGAAATTAAATAAAAAACTCACAGCACCCTAAAGCCTACAGCTAGGCCTAAAGCCTAGAACTAGGCCTGAAACTCTCCCTTCGTATCGTACCCCCGCGTGTGTGAAAGGGAGTTAATGTTTAACAATGTTACATTCCCTCATGTTTTTAAATAGAAACATTTAAATTTAAAGCTTTTACATTAATAATTAAAACATTTCAATTAAAAATTAACTCACGGCGGCCTAAAGCCTACAGCTAGGCCTAAAGCCTAGAACTAGGCCTCAATCTCTCCCTTCGTATCGTACCCCCGCGGGTGTGAAAGGGAGTTAATGTTTAACAATGTTTTATTCCCTCATCTTTTTAAATAGAAACATTTAAATTTAAAGCTTGTACATAAATAAAACATTTAAATTAAAAATTAATTCACAGCGCCCTACAGCCTACAGCTAGGCCTAAAGCCTAGAACTAGGCCTCAATCTCTCCCTTCGTATGGTCCGATTAGGTGTAGCAACATCGCCCCCTACTGCAAACACTTGGCAGGATTCTACAAAAACCTTTTGACTCAGTGGGGCTTTCCTGGCTAAACAAGTGTAATAATACATTATGTTTATATTCTTTGGTTATTCGTTCCTACCAGCCCACCCCGCAGGGTCCTGTTTTTATGATGTTTTATTTTTATTATATTATTTCCCTTCTACGTGATGACTTTACCGAAAGAACCAAGAAGATGTACTCCTACATTCTTAGACCTCCTTTGCCAGTTCCAAGATATAATAATAGGGGTTTTCCCCTTTTTTCTGGCAACAAAACTGAAACCTTTTTACAAGGATTCATGTCTGCATTAACCACAATACTTGCAGTCAAAAAAAACTCTGATAATATCTCTGGCATTGTCCTTGAAACTGATTGGTCCACACCAGAGACAGCTTTCTTTTGAGCCTCGTCTCAATTGGTGCTCGACCAGATGATGCCAAAAGGCACCAATTGAGACTAGGCTCAAAAGAAAGCTGTCTCTGGTGTGGACCAATCAGTTTCAAGGACAATGCATATATTATCAGTGTGTTTTTTGTTCAGAGTTGTTTCTTTTTGTTTGCATTTTGACTGCTTGTGTTGTGGTTATTGCAAACATGATGCCTTGTATAAAGGTGTCAGTTTTTGTACCAGTTGAAAGGGTAAAAAGCTATTACTAAAGATAAAGTAGTGAGAAATGCAATGATGAGAGATAAAATGACGTCACGCACCTGGGGGGGGGGGGGGGGGGGTCAGACATTTGTGACGATGTGTGACGAGAAGGGGGGGGGGGGTTTGAGAAATGTGACGTCACATAAAAATGCGCAACTTTAAATAAGTATATACAACACGTTCTACTTAATTAAATATACTTTTTAATACATGTTGTCTCCTACAACATCATTGTGCAGTGCCACATTAAATACGCACTACAATGACAATAGTAGTTTAAAGCGATTTGAAGCATGTTTTATTTATTTGGGGGGGGGGGCAGAGCTTTGTGACGTCATATTTGAGGGGGGGAGGTCTGACTTTTTGTGACGCCGTGTGACTCAGGGGGGGGGGGGGGGGGTCAAAAATCGTCAAAAATCGCGTGACGTCATTTATAGACGGCCCCTAAAGTGATGAGAGATAAGACTTCCCTACCCCGTATAATTTCTGAAATCTGTCACCCCCCTGCCAACATTTGTATATTGGTTTAGCCATGTTTGCTTGTTGTAGTACAGAGTTAGACTGATGGCCTTAATCTAAGTTGTCTTGTGGTTGTTGTTGGTTGTTTGACTTGCATCCCACTGGGATTTTTTCACACTGCGTTGGTGTACGGTGATTTTTTTCTGCAATGTTTTGCTGTCTTTTCTTGGATTTTCTGTTTGCACTTAGTCACATATTAACTTTAAGATGTTTTTTGTTCATGTTTTGTTTGTTGCGGTTGCACCCAATTCAAGAGCCGAATGGCTCACAGGGCTATACCTAATAAATGAACTTGAACTTGATTTGTTCTGGATTTGAAGTTTTCGTGACTGCAAGGAATCATAATCGTAGGTTTTTTAGGGAAAGTCACGTAGGTAGAAAATTAAAATTAATAAAAGTAATAACAGAAATAAAATAAAATAATAAAAATCACGACGTTTCGGAGGCAACACAAGTCTCCGTCATCATGTGGGACCGTCACAGCTAGATTTGCTGTATCAAGTGAGGCAAAAATTCCAAGATACAAGTTCTTAAATACAAGTTAAGGGGGAGGGGGGGGAGGAGCTTATCTGAGTGTGGTCGACAATGAATGGAACGTAATTCTAGATTTGAAGCTTTCGTGACTGCAAGGATTCATATTCTTGGGTTTTTTCGGTAAAGTCACGTAGGTAAAAATGTAAAATTAATAAAAGTCAAATAAAAATAAAATAAAAATCACGACGTTTCGGAGGCAACACAAGCTTCCGTCTTCAGGTGGAACCGTCACAGCACGCTTGCTGTATCAAGTGAGAGAAATTCCAAGAACACAGTATTTGTAAGCGATGGGTATTACCTTTTTAGATTTAAAGCTTTCGTGACTGCAGGGATTCATCTTCTTGGTTCTTTCGGTAAAGTCACGTAGAATGGAAACAATCAAAATAATAAAATAAAACATAATAAAATAATTCTCACGACGTTTCGGCCACAACGCAAGCAGCCGTCATCAGGTGAAGACCAGGTCTGTTGGGGAGACATTGAGACGCTGTCTCCCCGACAGACCTGGTCTTCACTTGATGACGGCTGCTTGTGTTGTGGCCGAAACGTCGTGAGAATTATTTTATTATGTTTTATTTTATTATTTTTATTGTTTCCATTCTACGTGACTTTACCGAAAGAACCAAGAAGAGGGGGTATTACCTTGTTATCTCGGCATCTCTTGAGGAAGGCCAGCGTCTCGAGAAGCTTTGCCTTCTTATCTCGTTGTCTGTTAAAAACTCTAACAGACAGGTGGAATTCCTCCCCGTAGAGGGTATTAATTCTAGATTTGAAGCTTTCGTGACTGCAATGATTCATATTCTTAGGTTTTTTCGGTAAAGTCACGCAGGTGAAAATTTTTTATTAATAAAATAAAATAAAAATCACGACGTTTCGGAGGGAACACAAGCATCGTGATTTTTATTTTATTTTTATTTTACTTTTATTAATTTAAAATTTTTACCTACGTGACTTTACCGAAAAAACCTAAGAAATAGAAAATGGAACGTACAGTATTTGGAGGGGGGTGGAAGGGCAAAACGTGTTCGTAAGTCGAGGAGTTGTACCCCCCCCGCATGTTGCGTCGATTCCTCGGAATCGATTTGCTTCTAATCTATCGGAGGAATCGATTCCTCTACCCACCCCCCTCACCACCACCACATCCACCATTGGCTCAGTCGCTTCAGGTCACGCAGCAGATTGCAAGAAGCAGGCAGCAAGCAGCAAGCAGCAGGCGTTGGCTCCGTGTGAACGCTTCCGAAGACGGCGCGCGGGCGATCGGGACTTCTATTCGGTAAACTTTGAACGTTGCGCAAAATCGTTGAATTAATTTAAATTAACAAAAAAGTTACGGCGTTGGCGGCGTTCGCCGGTCACCGGGGTGCCCGGGGCCTATCGCTCTGGTCGGTAGGGGATTCTAGGCGAGCGCGGGGGGCTCGAGAGCCCGTCGGAGGCCTATAGGGGGAGGGGTGAAAAAAAGTTTGAAAAGTTACATTGACGATCAAACAGCAGCAGTAGCATCATCATCATAATCAGCAGCAGCAGTAGCATCAGCAGTAGTGTCAGCAGCAGTGTCATCAGCAGCAGCAGTAGTGTCATCAGCAGCAGTAGCATCACCAGCAGCAGTAGCATCAGCAGCTTAAACAGCAGCAGTGTCATCAGCAGTGTCAGCAGCAGTAGCATCAGCAGTGTCATCAGCAGCAGTTGTGTCAGCAGCAGCAGTAGCATCAGCAGTAGCTTCATCAGCAGCAGTAGCATCAGCAGTGTCATAATCAGCAGTAGCAGCAGCAGTAGCATTACCAGCAGCAGCGTCATCATCAGCAGTGTCAGCAGCAGGATGATCAGCAGCAGTAGTGTCATCAGCAGCAGTAGTGTCATCAGCAGTGTCATCAGCAGTGGCATCAGCTTTATCAGCAGCAGTGTCAGCAGCAGCTTTATCAGCAGCAGGATGATCAGCAGTGTAAGCAGCAGCAGTGTCATCAGCAGCAGTGTCATCATCAGCAGTGTCATCATCAGCAGTGTCATCATCAGCAGTGTCATCAGCAGTAGCATCAGCAGCAGTAGCATCAGCAGCAGTGTCATCATGAGCAGTGTCATCAGCAGCAGGATGATCAGCAGTGTCATCAGCAGTGTCATCAGCAGCAGTGTCATCAGCAGCATCCGCAATAGTAGCACCGTCATCAGCATCATCATCAGCAGCATAAACTCAGCAGCAGCGTCACTCAGCAGCAGCATCAGCAGCAGCATCAGCAGTAGCAGCAGCATCATCAGCAGTAGCGTCACACAGCAGCAGCATCAGTAGTAGCAGCAGCAGCATCAGCAGTAGCGTCACACAGCAGCAGCAGCATCAGCAGTAGCAGCAGCAGCATCATCAGCAGTAGCGTCACACAGCAGCAGCAGCATCAGCAGTAGCAGCAGCAGCATCATCAGCAGTAGCAGCAGCATCAGCAGTAGCGTCACACAGCAGTGTCATCAGCAGCGTCATTTCCGACACCGTGGTGCTGATGATGATGATCGTGATGGTGTTTGTGTCGATGGCGATGATTGCTGCTGCTAAAGTGTGATCCTATAGCCTAGGGGCACACCCAGTGGCAGCTGTCCCTGTGTGTGAGTCTGCTGTCAGTAGTGGTACTAGGGGTAGCGATGACTGCTGCTGCTACTACTGCTATGTGATCCTATAGCCTAGGGGCACACCCAGTGGCAGCTGTGCTTGTGTGTGTCTGCTGTCAGTAGTAGTAGGGGTAGCGATGATTGCTGTTGCTACTATTGCCGTGTGACCCTATAGCCTAGGGGCACACCCAGTGGCAGCTGTCCCTGTGTGTGAGTCTGCTGTCAGTAGTAGTAGTAGGGGTAGCGATGATTGCTGCTGCTACTACTGCCGTGTGACCCTATAGCCTAGGGGCACACCCAGTGGCAACTGTCCCTGTGTGTGAGTCTGCTGTCAGTAGTAGTAGCGGTAGCGACGATTTGCTGGATTGTTTTTCTTGCCTGTGTGTCTGTCCCGTGTGTTTCAGGAGTTGGCCATCATGCTTCGGCTGTTGCTGCTTGTGCTGGTGGTTCAGCCTGCACTGATGGAGGTGTTCACATCAATAGGTGACGCACACGCAAACACACACACGCACACACACGCACGCACAAACACGCACACACGCAAACACGCACGCACAAACACGCACACACGCAAACACGCACGCAAACACGCACGCAAACACGCACACAAACACGCACGCAAACACGCACACACGCACACACACATGCACACAAACACGCACACAAACACGCACGCAAACACGCACACAAACACGCACTCAGACACGCACGCAAACACGCACACACAAACACGCACACACAAACACGCACATAAACACGCACTCAAACACGCACGCAAACACGCACACAAACACGCACTCAAACACGCACACACAAACACGCACACACAAACACGCACACAAACACGCACTCAAACACGCACGCAAACACACACGCAAACACTCACACACACAAACACGCACACACAAACACGCACACACAAACACGCACACAAACACGCACTCAAACACGCACGCAAACACGCACGCAAACACGCACGCAAACACGCACACACGCAAACACACGCAAACACACGCAAACACACGCAAACACACACACATGCAAACACGCACACACAAACAAGCACATACAAACACGCACACACACGCACACAAACACGCACACGCACAAGCATGCACGCAAACACGCACACACGCACAAACACGCACGCAGACACGCACGCAAACACACGGACACGCACACGCAAACACGCACCCACACACACGTGCACACGCACACACGCAAATGCATGAACACGCAAACACACAAAACAAAGACAAAGGTCCCGTGTGTAGCCTTTAACAGACTGTCGGGGCAAGCGCTGTTAGCCGGATTTCTTTTTTTTCGAAGGTAAATAATCGAAAACGTAAAATTAAGCACCGGCACGCGAGCACACCAACTTTGTTACTTCAAACTTATCTATGAACATCATTTGTTTTTTTTACGACCGGGAACCAAGGTAGGGTGGGGAGGGGGGGTCCAGGCTGCTGCAGTAAGCGGCAGAGGTCGCAAACGGGTTTTGATTCCTTACCCGTACCCGTACCCGGCCGCACCAGGGTCGCAAATGGGTACCCGTACCCGGCCGGGTACGGATACCCGTTCCCTACCCGTACCCTACCCGAAATGAGTGACAAACGGTGACTCACCAGTGACTCACGGCCTACCCGTACCCGTACCCGGCCGCACCAGGGTCGCAAATGGGTACTCGCACCTGGCCGGGTACGGGTACCCGTTCCCTACCCGAAATGAGTGACAAACGGTGACTCACCAGTGACTCACGGCCTACCCGTACCCGTACCCGGCCGGGTACGGGTACTCGTTCCCTACCCGTACCCGTACCCTACCCGAAATGAGTGACAAACGGTTACTCACCAGTGACTCACAGCCTACCCGTACCCGTACCCGGCCGCACCAGGGTCGCAAACGGGTACCCGTACCTGGCCAGGTACGGGTAGCCGGGTATCGGGTAGGGTATGGGTATCGGGTACCCGGTTGCGACCTCTGGTAAGCGGTTAAGAACCACTGCTCCAGATGGTGTACAATACAGGGTGCTTGAAAACAATGTTTTAACGCTTATATGGCGACTATCGTTTTTTTTATGGAAAAATAACAGATAATATTACTCCAAAGATGCAGACGCAATAACTAATGTCACGATAATTGTTTTTTTACCCTTCTATCTGGCAACAAAACTGACACCTTTTTTACACGGAGTCATGTTTACATAGACCACAATACCTGCAGTCATAATGCAAACAAAAAACATAACTCTGATAATGTATGCACTGTCCTTGAAGTTGAAAGCTGTCTCGGGTGTGGACCAATCAACTTCAAGGACAGTGCACATACATTATCAGAGTTATGTTTTTTATACAAACATGACTCCTTGTAAAAAAGGTGTCAGTTTTGTTGCCAGAAAGAAGGGTAAAAAACAATTATCATATTTTTTACTGGCAAATGAGGTTCCAATGGTGTCAATGCTTACCCCGAGCTCTCATACTCTGATGGTGCGCTGTCTTTGAGTTGTACGCCTTTTGGCGTCATCTGGTCCAACACCATGTGAGACTAGGCTCTAAGAAAAGCCGTCTCGGGTGTGGACCAATCAACTTCAAGGACAGTGCATACATTATCAGAGTTATGTTTTTTGTTCGCATTATGACCGCAGGTATTGTGGTCTATGCAAACATGACTCCTTGTAATAAAGGTGTCAGTTTTGTTGCCAGATAGAAGGGTAAAAAAACAATTATCATATTTTTTTTTCGACTGCAACACAAGCAGCAATTGTCATCAGGTGTGAAATCCATGGCAAGAATTTTTTTTTCCAAATTTTCTTGCTGTGGATTTCACACCTGATGACGATTGTTTGTGTTGCAGTTGAAACGTCGTGAGAATTTTTATTGTTTTATTTTATTATTTCCCTTCTACGTGATGACTTTACCGAAAGAACCAAGAATATGAATCTCTGTGTGTGTTTGTGGAGCTGAGTGGACTTGCCGATGACTGGTACCAGCAGTGTCAAGATCGGCCTCTGTGGAGGAGGCTCGTGAAGGACGCTGCTGCTACTGGGCAGTGCCAGGCTAGGTGCACAGTGGGGCTACTGGACAGTTGGAGGCAGTCGCCCTCCCAACGAAAACGGAGGGCGGAGGAGCGACGCTCACAACAACGAGCGGAGCGCCGGGTGCCTAAAACGCAGCGAGTTGGCACAGTAGGGGGGGTACAGCTGGTGGTGGTGCATCTACCGTTCATCTCAGTCGACCCATGGCACCTGCAGGGTCTGCCCTGTGACCTCCTGCCAGCGGGCGTTCAACACTTCACATGGCCTCAGTGTGCACCTAGCCTGGCACAGCAGCAGTCAACCCATGGCACCTGCAGGGTCTGCCCCGTGACCTGCCAGTGGGCGTTCAACACTTTACGTGGCCTCAGCGTGCACCTAGCCTGGCACAAGCGTCGTGGTGACGTCACCGCCACTTAGTGGCGAATGGTGGTTGTTGTTGTGTTTTTGCAACTCCCTCCCTCCCTCTGACTCAGGACACATGAGCGAGCTGCTCGACACCGAATCGGACCTCCTGCGCTCTCTCGACTCGTACATCGCCGAGCAACAGAGACGTCTGCACAGCCTGAGAGCGTGAGAACAGCATCAGCATCAACATTCTGATCATCAGCAGCATCGTCGTCATCAGCAGCATCGTCATCAGCAGCATCATGATCATCAGCAGCAACATCAATATCTGCAGCAGCATCAACATTCTGATCATCAGCAACATCAATATCAGCATCGTCATCAGCAGCATCGTCATCAGCAGCAGCATCATGATCATCAGCAGCAACATCATGAATATCAGCAGCGTCATCAGCAGCATTGTCATCAGCAGCATTGTCATCAGCACCATCGTCATCAGCAGCATCATGATCATCAGCAGCAACATCAATATCAGCAGCGTCATCAGCAGCATTGTCGTCGGCAGCATCGTTATCATCAGCGACTGCGGGGGGAGAGACACAGAAACTCCAAATACACAGGCATTGTCAGAGTCAAGATCGAACCCACGACCTCCTGTACACCGGGCAAGGCAGTTTACATGTCGCCACATGCAATCTCCAAATATACAGCAGCAGGTATCAGGGTCGGGATTTAACCCACAACCTCCTGCATACCAGGCGATGTAGTTAACATTTCCTAGTCACCCACCCACCCACTCACTCAGCCACCCACTCACTCACCCACCCACCCACCCACTCACCCACCCACCCACCCACTCACCCACCCACCCACCCACTCACTCACTCACCCACCCACGCACCCACTCAAACACCCACCCACCCCCTCATCCACCCACCCCCTCACCCACCTACCCCCTCACCCACCCACCCACCCACCCACTCACCCACCCACTCACTCACCCATCCACTTACCAACCCACCCACTCACCCACCCACCCACTCACCCACCTACTCACTCACCCACTCACCCACTCACCCACCCACCCACTCACCCACCCACCCCCTCACCCACCCACCCACTCACACACCCACCCCCTCACCCACCAACCCACTCATACACCCACCCTCCCACCCACCCACTCACCCACCCACCCACTCACCCACCCACCCACCCACCCACCCACTCACCCACCCACCCACCCACCCACTCACCCACTCACCCACTCACTCACCCACTCACCCACCCACACATCCACCCACTCACCCACCCACCCACCTACCCCCTCACCCACCCACTCACCCACCCACTCACCCACACACCCACCCACTCACTCACCCACCCACACACCCACCCACTCACCCACCCACCCACCTACCCCCTCACCCACCCACTCACCCACTCGCCCACCCACTCGCCCACCCACTCGCCCACCCACTCGCCCACCCACCCACCCACCCACTCACCCACTCACCCACCCACCCACTCACCCACCCACTCACCCACCCACCCACCCACTCACCCACCCACTCACCCACCCACCCACTCACCCGCTCACCCACCCACTCACCCACCCACCCACTCACCCACCCACACACCCAACCACCCAACCACCCAGCCACCCCAAAAACCCACCGTCCCACCCCCACCGCTCTCCCCGCGCTCTCCCTCGCAGGTGGGCGGAGTCTATACAGGAAGTCTGCCGCTCCGCGACCCTCGACCCGGAAGGGTTCCTGGGCAATCCGGTCAACGCCTACCGGCTACTCAAGAGGCTGGGGCAGCAGTGGCGGACGCTGGACGACACGGCCATCATGAACCCGGCAACCGGTGGGTAGCAAGCAAGCCGCACTCGCTCACTCACTCGCTCAGCTTTCATTCAGTCACTCATTCACTCACTCATTCACTCAGCTTTCATTCACTCAGCTTACACTCATTCACTCACTCACGCAGCTTTCATTCACTCAGCTTACACTCACTCATTCACTCACTCAGCTTACACTCGCTCACTCATTCACTCACTCAGCTTTCATTCACTCAGCTTACACTCGCTCACTCATTAACTCACTCACTCGGCTTACACTCGCTCACTCATTCACTCGCTCACTCATTCACTCACGCAGCTTTCATTCACTCACTCATTCACTCGCTCACTCATTCACTCAGCTTTCATTCACTCAGCTTAAACTCGTTCACTTATTCACTCTCTCAGCTTTCATTCACTCATTCACTCACTCAGCTTTCATTCACTCATTCATTTACTCAGCCATCATGAACCCTGCCACCGGTGGGTGGCAAGCAAGCCGCACCCGCTCACTCATTCACTCACTCAGCTTTCATTCACTCAGCTTACACTCACTCATTCACTCACTCAGCTTACACTCGCTCACTCATTCACTCAGCTTTCATTCACTCACTCATTCACTCGCTCATTCATTCACTGAGCTTACACTCGCTCACTCACTCATTCACTCGCTCACTCACTCATTCACTCAGCTTACACTCACTCATTCACTCGCTCCCTCATTCAATCGCTCACTCACTCACTCAGCTTTCATTCACTGAGCTTACACTCGCTCAATCACTCATTCACTCGCTCACTCACTCATTCATTCAGCTTACACTCGCTCACTCGATCGCTCACTCGATCATTTATTCACTTGATGGCCCATTCATTCACTCGGCTTACACTTGCTCATTCGATCAATTGTTCATTCACTCTGATCACACGCACACTCACTCTCTCATTCATTGACTCGCTTGCCCGCTTATTCACTCGATCGCTCACTCGCTCATTCACTTGCTCACGTACTCGCACATTCGCTCACTCGCTCATTCACCTGCTCACCCACTCGCTAACCCACTCGCTCGCTCGCTCATTCATTCACTTATTCACCCGCTCACCCACTCGCTTATTCACCCACTGAGCCACTCACTCACCCACTCGCTCATTCGCTTACTCGCTCATTCACCCACTCACCACTCACCCACTCACTCATTCACTCGCTCATTCACCCACTCACCACTCACCCACCCACTCATTCACTCGCTTACCCACTCGTCACTCGCTCATTCATCTGCTCATCCACTCGCTCACCCACTCGCTCACCCACTCGCTCCCTCATTCACTCGCTCCCTCATTCACCCGCTCACCCACTCGCTCATCCACTCGCTCATTCACTCGCTCATTCACTCGCTCATTCACTCGCTCATGCACTCGCTCATTTGTTCACCCACTCGCTCATTCGCTCACCAACTTGCTCATTCACTTGCTCGCTCATTCGCTCGCTCGTTCACTTGCTTACCCACTCGCTCATTCGCTCGCTTACCCTCTCGCTCATTCGCCCACTCACCCACTCGCTCATTCACTCGCTTACCCTCTCGCTCATTCGCCCGCTCACCCACTCGCTCACCCACTCGCTCATTCACTCACTTACCGACTCACTCACTCGCTTATTCACTCACTCGCTCATTCACCCGCTCACCCACTTGCTTACCCACTCGGTCATTCGCTCACTCGCTCATTCACCCTCTCGCCCACTCGCTCATTTGCTCGCTCATTCACTCACTTACCCACTCGTTCAATCACCTGCTCACCCCCTCGCTCACCCACTCGCTCATTCACCCACTCGCTCACCCACTCGTGCACCCATTCGCTCACCCACTCGCTCACCCACTTGCTCACCCACTCGCTCACCCACTTGCTCACCCACTTGCTCACCCACTCGCTCACCCACTCGCTCACCCACTCGCTCACGCACCCACTCGCTCACCCACTCATTCACCCACCCACTCACTCGCTCACCCACTCGCCCACCCACTCATTCACCCACTCGCTCACCCACTAGCTCACCCACCCGCTCACCCACCCACCCACTCACCCACTCGCTCACCCACTCGCTCGCCCACTCACCTAGAACTCGGTTTGTCTCCCTCTTACCCAGAGTTCCTAGCGAACATATCTGCCCAGCGTCTGCGGCTGCCCACCGAGGAGGATGTGACCGGGGCAGCCAAGGCTCTGATGCGTCTCCAGGACACCTACAGACTGAGCACGCGCGACATCGCAGACGGGAACCTACCAGGTACTCACGCACAGAGCGACTCACAGAATCACAAAGAGACCCACTCTTCTTCTTGGTTCTTTCGGTAAAGTCACGTAGAAGGGAAATAATAAAATAATAAAAATAAAACATGATAAAAGAATATAATAGATTTTATTTTTATTATTTTATGATTTACCTTCTACGTGACTTTACCGAAAGAACCAAGAAGATGAATCCCTGCTGCAGTCACGAACAGCTTTAAATCGAAAGAGACTCACTCTGTGAGACTTTCTATGTCTGTGGCTGCTACAGCCTGGGCCGGGTCTCAGAACCTGAGTCTCTGAGTCTCTAAACCCTGAGTCCCTGAGACTCTAGACTGTGAGTCTCTAGACTGTGAGTCTCTAAACCCTGAGTCCCTGAGTCTCTAATCCCTGAGTCTCTGAGTCTCTAAACCCATGAGTCTCTAAACCCATGAGTCTCTGAGTCTCTAAACCCTGAGTCCCTGAGTCTCTAGACTGTGAGTCTCTAAACCCATGAGTCTCTAGACTGTGAGTCTCTAAACCCATGAGTCTCTAGACTGTGAGTCTCTAAACCCTGAGTCCCTGAGTCTCTAGACTGTGAGTCTCTAAACCCATGAGTCTCTAGACTGTGAGTCTCTAAACCCATGAGTCTCTAGACTGTGAGTCTCTAAACCCTGAGTCCCTGAGACTCTAGACTGTGAGTCTCTAAACCCTGAGTCTCTAAATTACTCCACCCACTCGCTCCCTCATTCACCCGCTCCCTCATTCACCCACTCACCCACTCGCTCACCCACTCGCTTCCTCATTCACCCGCTCACCCACTCGCTCACCCACTCGCGCCCTCATTCACTCGCTCCCTTATTCACTCGCTCCCTCATTCACCCGCTCACCCACTCGCTCACCCACTCGCTCCCTCACCCACTCGCTCACCCACTCGCTCCCTCATTCACCCGCTCACCCACTCGCTCACCCACTCGCTCCCTCATTCACTCGCTCCCTCATTCACTCGCTTGCTCATTCACCCGCTCACCCACCCGCTCACCCACTCGCTCCCTCACCCACTCACTCCCTCATTCACTCGTTCCCTCATTCACCCACTCACCCACTCACTCATTCACTCGCTCACCCACTCACTCACCCGCTCACCACTCACTCACCCACTCGCTCACCCACTCGCTCACCCACTCGCTCCCTCATTCACTCGCTCCCTCATTCACCCGCTCCCTCATTCACTCGCTCACCCACTCGCTCACCTACTCGCTCCCTCACCCACTGGCTCCCTCATTCACCCGCTCACCCACTCGCTCACCCACTCGCTCCCTCACCCACTCGCTCCCTCATTCACTCGCTCACCCACTCGCTCACCCACTCACTCCCTCATTCACCCACTCGCTCACCCACTCGCTCCCTCACCCACTCGCTCCCTCATCCACCCGCTCACCCACTTGCTCCCTCATTCACTCGCTCCCTCATTTACCCGCTCCTTCATTCACCCGCTCACCCACTCGCTCACCCACTTGCTCACCCACTCACTCGCTCCCTCATTCACCCGCTCACCCGCTCACCCACTCGCTCACCCACTCACTCATTCGCTCGCTCCCTCATTCAGCCGCTCACCCACTCGCTCACCCACTCGCTCACCCGCTCACTCCCTCATTCAGTCTCTGAGTCTCTAAGTCTCCAATCCCCGAGTCTCCGAGTCTCTGGACCCTGTAACCCTTCCTCTCTCCACCCCGCCCCACCCTCACCCACTCGCTCATCCACTCGCTCCCTCACCCACTCGCTCCCTCATTCACCCGCTCACCCACTTGCTCACTCACTCGCTCACCCACTCGCTCACTCATTAACTCACTCACTCGGCTTACACTCGCTCACTCATTCACTCGCTCACTCATTCACTCACGCAGCTTTCATTCACTCACTCATTCACTCGCTCACTCATTCACTCAGCTTTCATTCACTCAGCTTAAACTCGTTCACTTATTCACTCTCTCAGCTTTCATTCACTCATTCACTCACTCAGCTTTCATTCACTCATTCATTTACTCAGCCATCATGAACCCTGCCACCGGTGGGTGGCAAGCAAGCCGCACCCGCTCACTCATTCACTCACTCAGCTTTCATTCACTCAGCTTACACTCACTCATTCACTCACTCAGCTTACACTCGCTCACTCATTCACTCAGCTTTCATTCACTCACTCATTCACTCGCTCATTCATTCACTGAGCTTACACTCGCTCACTCACTCATTCACTCAGCTTACACTCACTCATTCACTCGCTCCCTCATTCAATCGCTCACTCACTCACTCAGCTTTCATTCACTGAGCTTACACTCGCTCAATCACTCATTCACTCGCTCACTCACTCATTCATTCAGCTTACACTCGCTCACTCGATCGCTCACTCGATCATTTATTCACTTGATGGCCCATTCATTCACTCGGCTTACACTTGCTCATTCGATCAATTGTTCATTCACTCTGATCACACGCACACTCACTCTCTCATTCATTGACTCGCTTGCCCGCTTATTCACTCGATCGCTCACTCGCTCATTCACTTGCTCACGTACTCGCACATTCGCTCACTCGCTCATTCACCTGCTCACCCACTCGCTAACCCACTCGCTCGCTCGCTCATTCATTCACTTATTCACCCGCTCACCCACTCGCTTATTCACCCACTGAGCCACTCACTCACCCACTCGCTCATTCGCTTACTCGCTCATTCACCCACTCACCACTCACCCACTCACTCATTCACTCGCTCATTCACCCACTCACCACTCACCCACCCACTCATTCACTCGCTTACCCACTCGTCACTCGCTCATTCATCTGCTCATCCACTCGCTCACCCACTCGCTCACCCACTCGCTCCCTCATTCACTCGCTCCCTCATTCACCCGCTCACCCACTCGCTCATCCACTCGCTCATTCACTCGCTCATTCACTCGCTCATTCACTCGCTCATTCACTCGCTCATGCACTCGCTCATTTGTTCACCCACTCGCTCATTCGCTCACCAACTTGCTCATTCACTTGCTCGCTCATTCGCTCGCTCGTTCACTTGCTTACCCACTCGCTCATTCGCTCGCTTACCCTCTCGCTCATTCGCCCACTCACCCACTCGCTCATTCACTCGCTTACCCTCTCGCTCATTCGCCCGCTCACCCACTCGCTCACCCACTCGCTCATTCACTCACTTACCGACTCACTCACTCGCTTATTCACTCACTCGCTCATTCACCCGCTCACCCACTTGCTTACCCACTCGGTCATTCGCTCACTCGCTCATTCACCCTCTCGCCCACTCGCTCATTTGCTCGCTCATTCACTCACTTACCCACTCGTTCAATCACCTGCTCACCCCCTCGCTCACCCACTCGCTCATTCACCCACTCGCTCACCCACTCGTGCACCCATTCGCTCACCCACTCGCTCACCCACTCGCTCACCCACTTGCTCACCCACTTGCTCACCCACTCGCTCACCCACTCGCTCACCCACTCGCTCACGCACCCACTCGCTCACCCACTCATTCACCCACCCACTCACTCGCTCACCCACTCGCCCACCCACTCATTCACCCACTCGCTCACCCACTTGCTCACCCACCCGCTCACCCACCCACCCACTCACCCACTCGCTCACCCACTCGCTCGCCCACTCACCTAGAACTCGGTTTGTCTCCCTCTTACCCAGAGTTCCTAGCGAACATATCTGCCCAGCGTCTGCGGCTGCCCACCGAGGAGGATGTGACCGGGGCAGCCAAGGCTCTGATGCGTCTCCAGGACACCTACAGACTGAGCACGCGCGACATCGCAGACGGGAACCTACCAGGTACTCACGCACAGAGCGACTCACAGAATCACAAAGAGACCCACTCTTCTTCTTGGTTCTTTCGGTAAAGTCACGTAGAAGGGAAATAATAAAATAATAAAAATAAAACATGATAAAAGAATATAATAGATTTTATTTTTATTATTTTATGATTTACCTTCTACGTGACTTTACCGAAAGAACCAAGAAGATGAATCCCTGCAGTCACGAACAGCTTTAAATCGAAAGAGACTCACTCTGTGAGACTTTCTATGTCTGTGGCTGCTACAGCCTGGGCCGGGTCTCAGAACCTGAGTCTCTGAGTCTCTAAACCCTGAGTCCCTGAGACTCTAGACTGTGAGTCTCTAGACTGTGAGTCTCTAAACCCTGAGTCCCTGAGTCTCTAATCCCTGAGTCTCTGAGTCTCTAAACCCATGAGTCTCTAAACCCATGAGTCTCTGAGTCTCTAAACCCTGAGTCCCTGAGTCTCTAGACTGTGAGTCTCTAAACCCATGAGTCTCTAGACTGTGAGTCTCTAAACCCATGAGTCTCTAGACTGTGAGTCTCTAAACCCTGAGTCCCTGAGTCTCTAGACTGTGAGTCTCTAAACCCATGAGTCTCTAGACTGTGAGTCTCTAAACCCATGAGTCTCTAGACTGTGAGTCTCTAAACCCTGAGTCCCTGAGACTCTAGACTGTGAGTCTCTAAACCCTGAGTCTCTAAATTACTCCACCCACTCGCTCCCTCATTCACCCGCTCCCTCATTCACCCACTCACCCACTCGCTCACCCACTCGCTTCCTCATTCACCCGCTCACCCACTCGCTCACCCACTCGCGCCCTCATTCACTCGCTCCCTTATTCACTCGCTCCCTCATTCACCCGCTCACCCACTCGCTCACCCACTCGCTCCCTCACCCACTCGCTCACCCACTCGCTCCCTCATTCACCCGCTCACCCACTCGCTCACCCACTCGCTCCCTCATTCACTCGCTCCCTCATTCACTCGCTTGCTCATTCACCCGCTCACCCACCCGCTCACCCACTCGCTCCCTCACCCACTCACTCCCTCATTCACTCGTTCCCTCATTCACCCACTCACCCACTCACTCATTCACTCGCTCACCCACTCACTCACCCGCTCACCACTCACTCACCCACTCGCTCACCCACTCGCTCACCCACTCGCTCCCTCATTCACTCGCTCCCTCATTCACCCGCTCCCTCATTCACTCGCTCACCCACTCGCTCACCTACTCGCTCCCTCACCCACTGGCTCCCTCATTCACCCGCTCACCCACTCGCTCACCCACTCGCTCCTTCATTCACCCACTCGCTCACCCACTCGCTCCCTCACCCACTCGCTCCCTCATTCACTCGCTCACCCACTCGCTCACCCACTCACTCCCTCATTCACCCACTCGCTCACCCACTCGCTCCCTCACCCACTCGCTCCCTCATCCACCCGCTCACCCACTTGCTCCCTCATTCACTCGCTCCCTCATTTACCCGCTCCTTCATTCACCCGCTCACCCACTCGCTCACCCACTTGCTCACCCACTCACTCGCTCCCTCATTCACCCGCTCACCCGCTCACCCACTCGCTCACCCACTCACTCATTCGCTCGCTCCCTCATTCAGCCGCTCACCCACTCGCTCACCCACTCGCTCACCCGCTCACTCCCTCATTCAGTCTCTGAGTCTCTAAGTCTCCAATCCCCGAGTCTCCGAGTCTCTGGACCCTGTAACCCTTCCTCTCTCCACCCCGCCCCACCCTCACCCACTCGCTCACCCACTCGCTCCCTCACCCACTCGCTCCCTCATTCACCCGCTCACCCACTTGCTCACTCACTCGCTCACCCACTCGCTCCCTCATTCACTCGCTCACCCACTCGCTCACCCGCTCACCCACTCCCTCACCCACTCGCTCACCCACTCGCTCCCTCATTCACTCGCTCCCTCATTCACTCGCTCACCCACTCGCTCCCTCATTCACCCGCTCACCCACTCGCTCACCCACTCGCTCCCTCGTTCACTCGCTCACCCACTCGCTCACCCACTCGCTCACCCACTCGCTCCCTCATTCACCCGCTCACCCACTCACTCACCCACTCTCTCACCCACTCACTCGCTCCCTCATTCACCCGCTCACCCACTCGCTCACCCACTCGCTCACCCGCTCGCTCCCTCATTCACCCGCTCCCTCATTCACCTGCTCACCCACTCGCTCACCCACTCGCTCCCTCATTCACCCGCTCACCCACTTGCTCACCCACTCACTCATTCGCTCGCTCCCTCATTCACCCGCTCACCCACTCGCTCACCCACTCGCTCATTCGCTCGCTCATTGAGTCTCTAAGTCTCTAAACCCTGAGTCTCTGAGTCTCCAATCCCCGAGTCTCTGGACCCCGTAACCCTTCCTCTCCCCACCCCGCCCCACCCTCACCCACCGTCGCTCTCCCTGTGTGCTCGCTCATTCACCTCCAAGACGCGATGCACCACGTCACTCTGTCTGTGTGCTCGCTCATTCACGTCCAAGGCGCGATGTACCACGTCGCTCTCCCTGTGTGCTCGCTCATTCACCTCCAAGGCGCGATGTACCACGTCACTCTGTCTGTGTGCTCGCTCATTCACCTCCAAGGCGCGATGTACCACGTCACTCTGTCTGTGTGCTCGCTCATTCACCTCCAAGACGCGATGTACCACGTCGCTCTCCCTGTGTGCTCGCTCATTCACCTCCAAGACGCGATGCACCACGTCACTCTGTCTGTGTGCTCGCTCATTCACGCTCAAGACGCGATGCACCACGTCACTCTGTGTGCTCGCTCATTCACCTCCAAGACACGATGCACCACGCCGCTCTGTCTGTGTGCTCGCTCATTCACCTCCAAGACGCGATGCACCACGTCACTCTGTCTGTGTGCTCGCTCATTCACCTCCAAGACGCGATGCACCACGTCACTCTGTCTGTGTGCTCGCTCATTCACCTCCAAGACACGATGCACCACGTCGCTCTGTCTGTGTGCTCGCTCATTCACCTCCAAGACGCGATGCACCACGTCACTCTGTCTGTGTGCTCGCTCATTCACCTCCAAGGCGCGATGTACCACGTCACTCTGTCGGTGTGCTCGCTCATTCACCTCCAAGGCGCGATGTACCACGTCACTCTGTCGGTGTGCTCGCTCATTCACCTCCAAGGCGCGATGTACCACGTCACTCTGTCGGTGTGCTCGCTCATTCACCTCCAAGGCGCGATGCACCACGTCACTCTGTCTGTGTGCTCGCTCATTCACCTCCAAGGCGCGATGTACCACGTCACTCTGTCGGTGTGCTCGCTCATTCACGTCCAAGGCGCGATGTACCACGTCGCTCTCCCTGTGTGCTCGCTCATTCACCTCCAAGGCGCGATGTACCACGTCACTCTGTCTGTGTGCTCGCTCATTCACCTCCAAGGCGCGATGTACCACGTCACTCTGTCTGTGTGCTCGCTCATTCACCTCCAAGACGCGATGTACCACGTCGCTCTCCCTGTGTGCTCGCTCATTCACCTCCAAGGCGCGATGTACCACGTCACTCTGTCTGTGTGCTCGCTCATTCACCTCCAAGGCGCGATGTACCACGTCACTCTGTCTGTGTGCTCGCTCATTCACCTCCAAGACACGATGTACCACGTCGCTCTGCCTGTGTGCTCGCTCATTCACCTCCAAGACACGATGTACCACGTCGCTCTGTCTGTGTGCTCGCTCATTCACCTCCAAGACACGATGTACCACGTCGCTCTGTCTGTGTGCTCGCTCATTCACCTCCAAGGCGCGATATACCACGTCGCTCTCCCTGTGTGCTCGCTCATTCACCTCCAAGGCGCGATGTACCACGTCACTCTGTCTGTGTGCTCGCTCATTCACCTCCAAGACACGATGTACCACGTCGCTCTGTCTGTGTGCTCGCTCATTCACCTCCAAGACGCGATGTACCACGTCGCTCTCCCTGTGTGCTCGCTCATTCACCTCCAAGGCGCGATGTACCACGTCACTCTGTCTGTGTGCTCGCTCATTCACCTCCAAGGCGCGATGTACCACGTCACTCTGTCTGTGTGCTCGCTCATTCACCTCCAAGACGCGATGTACCACGTCGCTCTGTCTGTGTGCTCGCTCATTCACCTCCAAGACACGATGTACCACGTCGCTCTGTCTGTGTGCTCGCTCATTCACCTCCAAGACACGATGTACCACGTCGCTCTGTCTGTGTGCTCACTCACACACTCGCTCACCCACTCACTCATTCTTTCGCTCCCTCATTCACCCGCTCACCCACTCGCTCACCCACTCGCTCATTCGCTCACTCCCTCATTCACCCGCTCCCCCACTCGCTCACCCACTCGCTCACCCGCTCGCTCCCTCATTCACCCGCTCACCCACTCGCTCACCCACTCGCTCACCTACTCGCTCACCCGCTCGCTCCCTCATTCAGTCTCTGAGTCTCTAAGTCTCTGAGTCTCTAAACCCTGAGTCTCCAATCCCCGAGTCTCCGAGTCTCTTGACCCCGTAACCCTTCCTCTCCCCACCCCGCCCCACCCTCACTCACCGTCTCTCTCCCTGTGTGTGCGCGCGTGTCCAAGGCGCGATGCACCGTGACGCTCTGTCTGCCCACGACTGCTACGACCTGGGCTGCGTCGCCTACACGGAGGGCGACTACCGCCACACGCAGCTGTGGATGCGGCAGGCGCTGCGCATGATGCACCGAGGAGGAGGAGGGGAGAGACGTGGGGCGGAGGGGGGAGAAGCGGAGGAGACTCCGGGGGGAGGAGGATCGGCGGTGGAGGGGGTGGAGTGGCTGACGGGAGCGGCGGTGGTGGACGAGGTGGATGTCTTGGACCACCTGAGCTTCGTGGCGTTTCAGCAGGGCAAGACGGAGGAAGCGAATGCGCTAACGAAGCGGCTGCTCACGCTGGGTACGAGTGACGGGGGGGGTGAGCGAGTGGGTGAGCGGGTGGGTGAGCGGGTGGGTGAGCGGGTGGGTGAGCGGGTGGGTGAGCGGGTGGGTGAGCGAGTGGGTTGAGCGGGTGGGTGAGTGGGTGGGTGAGGGAGCAGGTGAGCAGATGAATGAGCGAGTGGGCGAGCGAGTGAATGAGCCAGTGAACGAATGAGCGAGTGGGTGAGCGAGTGAGCGAGTGGGTGAGCAAGTGAATGAGCGAGTGGATGAGCGAGTGGGTGAGCGAATGAGCGAGTGGGTGAGCGAATGAGCGAGCGGGTGAGCGAATGGGCGAGCGGGTGAGCGAATGGGCGAGCGGGTGAGCGAATGGGCGAGCGGGTGAGCGAATGGGCGAGCGGGTGAGCGAATGGGCGAGCGGGTGAGCGAATGGGCGAGCGTGTGAGCGAATGGGCGAGCGGGTGAGCGAGCGAGCGGGTGGGCGAGCGAGCGAGCGGGTGGGCGAGCGAGCGAGCGGGTGGGCGAGCGGGTGAGCGAGCGAGCGGGTGGGCGAGCGAGCGGGCGGGCGGGCGAGCGAGCGGGCGGGCGGGTCAGCGGGTGAATAAGTGGCTCAGCGGGTGAATGAGCGAGTGGCTCAGCGGGTGAATGAGGGAGTGGCTCAGCGGGTGAATGAGGGAGCGAGTGGGTGAGCGAGTGGGTGAGCGAGTGGGTGAGCGAGTGGGTGAGCGAGTGGGTGAGCGAGTGATGAGTGGGTGAGCGAGTGACGAGTGGGTGAGCGAGTGGGTGAGCGAGTGGGTAGCGAGTGGGTAGCGAGTGACGAGTGGGTAAGCGAGTGAATGAGTGAGTGGGTGAGTGGGTGAATGAGCGAGTGAACGAATGAGCGAGTGGGTGAGCGAGTGGCTCAGCGGGTGAATAAGCGAGTGGGTGAGCGGGTGAATAAGTGAATGAATGAGCGAGCAAGTGAATGGGCGAGTGGGTGAGCGATTGGGTGAGTGGGTGAATGAGCGAGTGGGTAAGCGAGTGATAGAGCGAGTGTGTGCATGGCAGCTGTACCGTTACCACCTTGACCTCTGTGGGTTACACCACGGGATCCGGTGGGCTAGTTCTGGAATGTGTCTGTGTAGCAGGAGAGGCTGCCACATCTCTCACCCCATATCCATCTCCCCATCTCCCTCCTCACCACCACCGCCTACCGGACCATCTCACTCTCTCTCCCCGTCTCTCCCCCCATCTCTCACACCCCATCTCCCCATATCCATCTCCCCATTTCTCTCTCCGCATTTCTCCCCCCATCTCTCTCCCCATGCCCCCATCTCCCCATCTCCCCCCATCTCCCCCCGTCTCTCTCCCAACCACCACCGCCTCCCAGACCATCTCGCTCTCTCTCCCCGTCTTTCCCCCCATCTCTCACACCCCATCTCCCCATTCTCTCTCCGCATTTCTCCCCCCATTGCCCCCCCATCTCTCTCCCCATGCCCCCATCTCCCCATCTCCCCCCATCTCCCCCCGTCTCTCTCCCCACCACCACCGCCTCCTCCCAGACCCGTCTCACTCTCTCTCCCCGTCTCTCCTCCCATCTCTCACACCCCATTTCCCCATTTCTTTCTCCCCATTTCTCTCTCCGCATTTCTCCCCCCATCTCCCCCCATCTCTCTCCCCACCACCACCACCTCCTCCCAGACCCATCTCACTCTCTCCCCATCTCCCCCCATCTCTCTCCCCATGCCCCCATCCCCATCTCCCCATCTCATCATCTCCAGACCCATCTCACTCTCTCCCCCCATCTCCCCCATCTCTCTCCCCACCACCAACGCCTCCTCCCAGACCCATCTCACTCTCTCTCCCCATCTCACTCTCCCCATCTCCCCCCCATCTCTCTCCCCACCACCAACGCCTCCTCCCAGACCCATCTCACTCTCTCTCCCCGTCTCTCTCCCCATCTCCCTCCATCTCTCCCCATCTCTCTCCCCGTCTCTCTCCCCGTCTCTCTCCCGTCTCTCTCCCCGTCTCTCTCCCCGTCTCTCTCCCCGTCTCTCTCCCCGTCTCTCTCCCCGTCTCTCTCCCCGTCTCTCTCCCCGTCTCTCTCCCCGTCTCTCTCCCCGTCTCTCTCCCCATCTCTCTTCCCATATCCCCAGACCCGTCTCACGAGCGTGCGCAGGGGAACCTCGACTACTTCTCCCGGGCGCTGTCCGCCAAGCGGAAGGGCGACGACGAATCTCACCTCCTCACGACCGGCATCCACAGCGACTCATCTTCCTCCTCGTCGTCGTCATCCTCGAAGAGGAGGAGGAAGGACACGATGGGGGGAGAGAGACTCGGGGAGGAGGAGGAGGAAGTGGAGGTGGAAGAAGAAGTGGATGAGGAGGTGGACGATGGGAAAAGTGCAAGCTACATGAAGCTGTGTCGGGGAGAGGGGATCAAGATGGTGAGTCGGGGGGGTAGGCGACGCACGACCTCACGGCTCCCTCCGTGCCTCCCTCCCACTCTTCTCTGCGTCATCTCTCTTGTCCTCCACGTCTCCATCTGTGTCTCCCTCTCCCTGTGTCTCTCTGTGTCTCTCTGTGTCTCTCTCTGTCTCTCTCTTTTTTTTTAATAATAACTCGCTCGCTCTCTCGCTCGCTCTCTCGCTCGCTCTCTCGCTCGCTCTCTCGCTCGCTCTCTCGCTCGCTCTCTCGCCCACTCTCTCGCTCACTCTCTCGCTCACTCTCTCGCCCACTCTCTCGCTCACTCTCCCGCTCACTCTCTCGCTCACTCTCCCGCTCACTCTCTCGCCCGTTCTCTCGCTCACTCTCTCGCTCTCTCTCGTTCTGCACGCAGTCCTTCTTGCAGTCCTACGGCCTCCGACGGGTAGCTCATATCAGCATGCAGAGCTCCCCGTCATCTGCCACCGAGCACACGGCCTCCTCCATCGCCCACTGCTCCTTGAAGGCCGGCACGGCGTGGGTCAGCCGCGCATGGCGGAACTCCGGCCACACCCTGGCTTCGAGCAGAGTGCGGAAGATGCCCACGCTGCTGGCCGGACGTTTCCCCTCCAGGGCCACCTTCCTCGCCCTGTAAATGGCGAGCTTGGCATAGCCGACGAGCATTCTCTCCCTCTCTCACCCTCTCCCCCCTCTCTCCCCGCTCTCTCTCTGTATGCGTGGCACGTGCAGTGCCATGTGCAGTGTTTGTGATGTCCACACGTGACGCTGCACTCGATGTGTCACTTCACATCGAACTCGGTTCCGGTGCTTTCGGTGCTGGCAGCAATGACATTGGTTTGAAACTTTCTCTCTCCATCTCCCTCTCTCTCTCCCTCTCCCGCTCTCTCCCCTGTGCAGGCAGCACCAATGTAGGAGACACTCTGCCCTCGGGGCAGCTCTCCAACGTGTCGTGGAGACGCACCGGCGTGCGCTACACCAACAACGAGGCGTACTTCGACGTGATTGAGGAGGTGGATGCCATCATTGATCGCTCTGGTGAGAGAGAGAGAGAGAGGCAGAGGGAGAGAGAGAGACAGATAGTGGGAGAGAGAGAGACACAGAGAGAGACAGAGAGAGACACAGAGAGGGTGGGAGAGAGAGACAGAGAGAGACAGAGAGAGACACAGAGAGAGACACAGAGATACAGAGAGAGAGACAGAGAGAGACACAGAGAGAGAGACAGAGAGAGAGACAGAGAGATACACAGAGAGAGACACAGAGAGAGGCACAGAGAGAGACACAGAGAGAGAGACAGAGAGAGACAGAGAGAGACACAGAGAGACAGAGAGACACAGAGAGAGACACAGAGAGACACAGAGAGAGACACACAGAGAGACAGAGAGAGACACAGAAAGAGACACACAGAGAGGGTGGGAGAGAGATAGACAAAGATACAGGGAGAGAGACACGGGAAGAGAGACTACGGGGAGGGAAAGAGAGAGACACGGGGGGAGAGAGAGAGAGGGAGACACACGGGGAGATGGAGGGAGACAAGGGGAGCGAGAGAGAGACACGGGGAGAGAGACACAAAGAGAGACACAGAGAGAGAGACAGAGAGACACGGAGAGACACAGAGAGAGACACACAGAGTGTGAGAGACTTTTGACTTTCAAACCACTTTTAGAGAGGGAGGGCAGAGGAGGGAGAGAGTGTGGGGAGAGAGAGTTTGGGGAGAGAGGAGAGTGTGGGGTGAATTTGGAGAGACTTTTTTTTGTTGACCAGTGCAATAGACACACAGAGACACAGAGGGGGGGGGGGGGGAGACAGGGGAAGATGGAGAGGGTGGACAGAGAAGGAGACAGAGAGAGACTTTGATGTGTGTCTCCGTGCGTGTCCGTGTGTCTGTCCGTGTCCATGTGTCTCCGCGTGTGTCTCAGGCTCCACGGTTACGGCTGAGATTCAGGGCGTGATTGACGCCTGTGTGAAGCTAACGGGGATGCCTGACCTCACACTCTCCTTCATGGTGACACACGCACATACACACACGTACATACGCATACACATACACACACGTACACGCGCATACACGTACACACACGTACACACACGTACACACGCACATACACACACGTACACACGCATACATATACACGCATATACACAACAACAACAACCGCCATTCGCCACTAAGGTGACGTCACCACGACGCTTGTGCCAGGCCATGTGCACGTTGAGGCCACGTGAAGTGTCGAACGTCCGCTGGCAGGAGGTCACGGGGCAGACCCAGCAGGTGCCACGGGTCGACTGACTGAGATGACTGGCTGATGCACCACCTGTGCCTCCTACTGCAGCAACTTACACACACACACATAAACACTTATAAATGTACATAAAGACAAAGATCCCCTGTATAGCCTGAGCAGACTTTTGGGGCAAGTGCTGTTAGCGAGCACCTATTTAGGCCGGAACGGTACACTGACCGCCTTTGTCTCCCCAGTGGCGATGTTTACTCCACACTACCGCTGAGTCGACCTTGGGGAGGTCCATGGCCGGTTCAGATTAACGTCACCGGCCGTGGTCGTGAGCTGGAATCAAACTCGGGTCGCTGGGTTCGTAGCGCAGTGTATTGCTAACCACTGCGCCACCGCTCCCCTACACATACAGATACACACTCGCATTTACATATTCACACTTGTACTGTCTGCCTGTGTCTCTCTCTCCCCATGTCTCTCGCTGTATGTCTCTCTCATCATTTTTCTCTCTCACCATGTCTCTCTCTCCCCGTGTCTCTCTGTCTGTCTCCCCGTGTCTCTGTCTATCTCCCCGTCTGTCTCTCACCATGTCTCTCTCTCCTCCCATCTCTCTCCCTGTGTGTCTTTCTCATAATTTCTCTCTCACACTATGTCTTTCTCTCTCCCCGTGTCTCTCTGTCTCTCCCCGTGTGTCTCTGTCTGTCTCCCCGTCTGTCTCTCTCCGCATGTCTCTCACCCCATGTTTCTCCCCATGTCTCTCCTCCCATCTCTCTCCCTGTGTGTCTCTCATCATTTCTCTCTCTCACCATGTCTCTCTCTCTCCCCATGTCTCTCTGTCTCTCCCCGTGTGTCTCTCTATCCCCATGTCTCTCTCTCCTCCCATCTCTCTCCCTGTGTGTCTCTCTCATCATTTCTCTCTCTCCCCATGTCTCTCTCTCTCTCCCCGTGTCTCTCTGTCTCCCCGTCTGTCTCCCTCCCCATGTGTCTCTCCCCCCGCGTGTTTCTCCCCCCGCGTGTCTCTGTCTCTCCGCGTGCAGAACCCGCGTCTGCTGGACGATGTGAGTTTCCACCCGTGCGTGCGCTTCAAGCGCTGGGAGTCGGAGCGCGTTCTCTCCTATCATGTCTCCTCGCAGAGGTGACACGGAGACCTACGCAGAGAGACACGCGGACACGGAGAGACACATGGAGAGACACACGGAGAGACATACGGAGACACACACGGAGAGACACATGGAGACGCACGGAGAGACACACGGAGAGACGCACGGAGAGACGCACGGAGAGATGCACGGAGAGACGCACGGAGATACACACGGAGAGACACACGGAGAGACACACGGAGAGACACACACAGAGACACACACAGAGACACACGGAGAGACACACACGGAGAGACACACGGAGAGACACACACGGAGAGACACACACGGAGAAACGCACGGAGAGACACACGGAGACACACACGGAGACACACACGGAGAGACACACGGAGAGACACACGGAGAGACACACGGAGAGACACGCACGGAGGCACGCACGGAGACACACGGAGACACATCCAGCGTGGTGTGCGTGTGTCTCTGTCTTCTTCCCGCAGCCTGGTGTCCGTCCCCGTGTGCGTGCGTCACTCGGTGTCGTTCCGTGAGGGCGGTGGCGGCGGCGGGCGTCTGGAGCTGACGCTGGGGCCTCGGCACAGCGGCGGGAAGACGCTGGAGGCGGTCGTCGTCACGGCGACGCTGCCGCCCCCAGTGCTCGCCGTGGCGCTCACGGCAACGCAGGGGACCCACGCCTTCGATCCCGTCTCCAAGGTGACGGGGGGGAGGGACGGGGGGGGGGGGGGGGGAGACGGGGGGGGGGGGTATGGGGAGAGGGGAGGAGAGAGGGAGATAGGGGGGGGTATGGAGAGAGGGGGGAGAGAGGGAGATAGGGGGGGGGAGAGAGGAGGCGAGAGGGAGATGGGGGGGGGGTATGGGGAGAGAGGAGGTACAAGGAGTGAGGGAGGAGAGAGGGAGATGTGCCTGCAGGTGCTCAAGTAGATGGGCGACACGTCCACGTCGTCACAGCAGCGTCGTCACGGTGATGTCGTCACAGCAGCGTCGTCACGGTGACGTCGTCATAGTCGCGTCGTCACGGTGACGTCACAGCAGCGTCATGGCCTCGTCATCGTCACGGCATCAGCCACGCGCTTCACTCACGTGGGCTCGCTACGAACACCACTTGGGCCAACAGCCTGTTAGAGGATCTCTCTGCGTCTCTATGAACCTGATGCTCTGTGGCGTTGTTTGTTTGTGTAGTGTTCAAATATTGAATAACAAAACTTCCTGAGGAACACTAAAAAAAAAGAGGGAGATGGGGGGGGGTATGGGGAGAGGGAGGAGAGAGAGTCAAGGGCAGGGGTGGGCAAACTTTTTGACTCGCGGGCCACAATGGGTTCTAAAATTTGACAGGGGCCGGGCCAGGAACAGGTGGATGGAGTGTTTGTGTGAACTAATGTAAATGACATGTAAAAATCATGACATGTAAAAATCATTACATGAAAGGATTTGGCCTTTAACAGGTAGCAAAGCATTTATTTGCAAGGCAATTTAACAAATTGCACGAACATGAACAATACAAAAACATGTCGTAACGTGACTGATCAAACATCATGAAAACATCTGAGGCCTGCGCCAAACCAATTACCTCACTTGAACTTCTTTATTATCTACATTAACAGGTTAGAGCAGCCACGCAGGTTGTGTTGCGGAGATTTGGCTTCAACCTCGCTGCAGCAACACATCATCAGTTTCAGTGGGAACAGTGTTGTTAATCTCCCATTTTTGCCAGTGCATCCAAGTCTGGAGTTATTTTGGTTGTGGCAATTCTCAGGATAGATCTGAGGTGCTGATCCGTTTACTTTGATCTGTGACGGGCTTTGTTGGCGTTCATGACGCTGAATGTCTGCTCACACATAAGTCGAGCCAAACAAAGTCAGTATCTTCTGTGCAGTCCTCCGGAGGTTTGGAAACGTGGCTCTGTTAAGTGAAGCATAAAAGTCATTCAGTTTAACAGAGTTGAACTTCTCCTTTAAGATGGAGTCAGACTGAAGATATATCAGTTCCAACTGCAGCTCCTGTGGTGCTGTTTCAGGGTCTTGTGACAGGGGACAGGACACCAGCTGAAGTGACTGTTCAATGTTTTCGAAATCGGAGAACCTACGGCAGAATTCTCCGTGCAGGTCCTCAAGTGATTTGCTGTATTTTTTTGCGTTTCGCGGTGCCTCTTCCTGCATGGCAAGTGTTCATTCATGTGTGAAAATATGTCCACAGCAAACGCAAAGTCACTAAGCCAGTTCTTGTCGCTTAGCTCACGGAATTTGTCAGATTTCCCCATTGCCATCCTCTCAGCCGACAAAGGCAATGGCACTGTCATCATGGACAAAACAGAATACAACAACAAAATTCAAGAATTACTCAACGATGGCAGCTATACAAAAATAAAAAGAGACCCCACCAACAGCCTCGTCCCTAAAACCAAGCAAATAATTTCTGATTCAACCGCATTAATTGATCAGACCAAACAGTTCTCGTTGAAACCTTCTGCAGCCAGGCCACCAAGATTATACAGCTTGCCAAAGACACATAAAGAAGATACACCTCTTCATCCCATTGTCTCTACTATCAACTCCCCCACCTATAAACTGGCTCGTTTTTTGTCTGAAATCCTACTGTCTTTCACTGGAAAAACCTCCTCTGTGGTACTAAACTCTACTGACCTGGTATCGACAATCAAGGGGATTTCCCTGTCCCCAGACGACCTGCTTGTCAGTTTTGATGTGGTTTCCTTATTCACCAAAGTTCCTGTACCTGACACCATCGCAATCATTGAAGACTTGGTTCATCAAGGACTGAATGCTGGGGTACCCACCCTGGTGAGACACTGCTTAACCAATACATACTTCACCTGGAATGGAACTTTCTACAAGCAAACTGAGGGCACCCCAATGGGCTCCCCCCTATCTCCAGTTGTAGCCAACGTCTTCATGGAGAAATTTGAGACTGACGCCATCCAGACTGCCACTCTACGCCCGACCTTATGGAAGAGCTACGTAGATGACACTTTTGTCATCTGGCCACATGGCCGGCCTGCTCTAGACCAATTTCTCGACCACATCAATTCCATACACCCAGCCATCAGATTCACCATGGAAGTCGAAAAAGATGGCAAGCTACCCTTTTTGGATGTCCTAATTAAAAGGAGACCTGATGGTTCAATGAGCCACTCTGTCTACAGGAAAGCCACCCATACGGATGCTTACCTAAAACCGGATTCCCACCACCATCCATCCCAGAAGAATTCCCTCATCAAGACTCTATACCATAGAGCCCAATGCATTTCCGACCAGGAACACATTGCCAGTGAACTCAAACACGTACGCCAAGCTCTTAAGGCTAATCGTTACTCCGACTACACAATCCGCAAGGCCATCACTCCAACCATCAAGAAGGATCCTGTTGAGGAGCCTTTCAAGACCATCACCTTACCCTACATTGCTGGGGTCACAAAAAAGATCTCCAAAATCCTGATTAAACACAAGATCCAGGTCCGATTCAACACAGTACATAAAATCCGTGATCTGGTCCCGTCTGTAAAAGATGTGGTTCCAGACATACAGTACCCTGGCGTCTACAAACTAAGTTGCCTCTGTGGTAGCAGTTACATTGGAGAAACCAAACGACATGTCTCGGACCGCATCTGTGAACATAAAGCAGACTTGAAACACGGTAGGACA